TCCTGAACGCGCCGTGATTTCGTGTGGCTGTTTGCGTGTTCCCACGTGAGGGGCTGTCCCTTGGTGCTGCTGTGACCCTCCCGTGGGGTCCCCCGCAGGTCAGGGCAGCCCCCGGGGTGCTGTGCTGGGCAAGGGGGGGGGGCACGGGGTTAGTGGGCGGGCCAGCAGCCCTCGGAGCAGACGTGAACCGTGAGTAATTAGGCAGCTCCTCTGCTGGCAGTGCCAGCGATTGCTCAGGCACCGGGCAGCGCTCCGGGAGCGGGTCAGCCCGGTCAGATGCCGGGAGCAGGGGAGCTCCACATATGCCCGAGATCCACTCCCATGCCCTTGGCACGGCTCCCTGTGATCCCCACCGGCCGGTCCATTTGTTTTAGGCCAGTTGGTCGGGGTGGTTTTTGTTGGTTTTGTTGTGGGTTTTTTTTTGAAAGTAGGCATTGGGCTTCAGCCTCCTAATAGCTTATGATGTTGGACATAATCCTGGGAAGTGGGGTTTTGTGCAGGGGCCAAAAGACTCTGGATGTTAGACCTACTTCCTAAAGCTCACGTTATCACGAGGCAAAAAACGTTTGATGCAGCTTTGAACTTCTGGCTCTCAATCTCTGCTAAGTGCAGGGTTGGAAAAGGGTCCTTAAACTGAATTTTAATACCTCGTTTTGTGGCAAGGGGGGTATCTCAGTGTTTGGAATGGTTCTCTGGGGGTTTGAGCAGATGCCTGCAGGGATACATGACCCTGATGCTTGGGCAGGATTGTCTCAACATGTTTGCACGTTCCAAGTTAGGGTCAGAGCATCCTTTTCCTGGGTCCAGTGTAAGTGCACAAAGATCCAGTGGCTAAGCAGGGTTGGGAAGTGAAGCCTTGAGCATCTCTGGAGTGTTGACATCCCTTGTGTGTTCAGCACATGGAGTGTGCCTGGGGCAATATCTGCAAATTGTGTCTCAGGGCTGGCACCTCTTACCTGGTGCTCTGCAAGAGGGAGGAGGATTTTATTGCCTCTGTTTTTCAGATAAACACTTGCTGAGTTAGTTCTCTGCACAGGTCAGCAGTGGGCAGTCCATGTGAGGAGTTATTCTGTAGGGAAGGTGGATGCAGGAGGAGTTTGAAGGATGGCATCTTGTCCCAGCCTTTCTAGAACATGTGTGATACTGATTATATGGGAAATTCAGGATCTGCCCCATTCCTTAGCACTGTCCTTCCTGCAGACTCACCCCAAGTGATGATTTTTCCATGGATCAGACAATCAACTGGGGAAGGCCAGTGCTACTTTAGTCCCTCCTGCTTCTGATAACTTCACTGCCTCAGTGTACCACTTGCTGTGGTGTTGCTTCAAATGTCTAAGCACTTAAATATTATCAGTTATTCTCCCTGGAAGGCCCCACTTTTATTTTGACTTTGTGCTGCTTTGTCAGTAAAAGGACACTGCTCTATTAAATCTCTTTGCAAAACACTTTTTGTGCACGCTTATTGTTTCCTTGCCAACAGTAATATTGGAAAGGCTTGCTTTATTACTTGAAATCTATCAAAAAATTCTGTTATTGGTGAAATATTTGGAAGCTAGCAGGAGCGAGCCTCAGCATTCCGGTTAAAAGGACTTTGCAAAAAATTTAACTTTAGTGAGGGAGCAGCATTTTTTTGTACAAGTGAGTGCTGTGAGTCAATATTTATTGCTCTTTGAGATGTTCACTTGCACAGAATTTTTTCCAGAGTGCTGTTGCAGCATTTCACTGCACTTTACCCGGATAGATCCAAACAATGGAATATTTAAAATTAGGGTGCGTTGCGATACCAGACTTAATCATTAAGTACCATCAAGGAACAGATGGCAGGAGGGGACACAACTGGTTTGCAGTCTGCATAGATTTAAGCATGAAGCCATTAAGCTATCACATTCCCATTTCTGATAGATTTTGGTCAATGAAAAATTAAAGGCCCGTAATCCCTGATTATTTGGAGGCTCAATCCGCGATTCACGACGCTGGGGAGTATTTCCAAATCACCCAGGTTCCCCCTGCAGTGAGGAGTTTTTAAACTAATGCATCACTGGGAGGGGATGCTCCTGTCTGCTTTTGCTGCCATTGAAATTAATGTCTCTTGTCAGAAGTAGGTTGCTCTTAAATGTAAAATTGCTGAAGGGGATCTTTCACCGCTCTGCTTCCTATCGACTTGTGCACAGATTTGCCCTATTTTGCTGGGCTGTTTGCCACTGAAGCAGTTGAGCATCTCCACCTCAGAAAAAGGAGCAGATCATGGCCTTAAAAATGGGTATAGTGGCCACCAGAATCTCAGCTTTAAAACCAGCTTTTTAAAACCATATCTCTTACAAAAGTCTGTTTTATATTCTGAATTATTTCCTTTGCCTCATGTATTCCCGACAGCATCTACCAGTTTATTTCAGTGGTATTGGAGCAAATGCATTCTAATAAAGAGAGCTGTTTTGCATTAAAAAAAAAATGTAATTATTGTAAACATTTTATTGGTCATAAAAATTAAATAATTCAGCATATTGAAGTGATCTATTAAAATCTTCAGTGAATTTTCGAAAAATGTAAACTGGTTTATGGCTGTTCTTTTAAGCCATACAGGTTTGGGCAGTTTTATGTTTAGATTTTTTTTATCTTTTGGCATGAAAAATAGTTGCACCTCGTGTTTCATTAGTTATTTTGAATGCATGGTAAGAAAATCAGTATGTCCTGGCTTGGACCAGTCTGGCAAAACACAATTCCACAAAGAATATATGATGGAAAATGTGGAGCCAACATCGTGCTGTGGTATTTGAGAGGGACAGATTAAGACATCTTAGTCATGGCTAAAGTGTTAATTGGGAGCATCAAAGAGAACTCACCTCCCTTGTTTGAAGAGTAATGAGACAATACAACATTCTCAAACAAAAACGACCAAGAAATCTGCTACCTGTAGTGAACTATTGAGGGTACATGTTTAATTAAATTAAAAATGATTGGTAGAGATTAGCAGTGTTACTGATATCCAAGCACCTTGGTTTTGTTGATCCTCAAAAGCAAGGGGTTCAACTTCTTGTCACCGTTACCTGTTTTAAAGTTCTGCTGAAAAATGTGAAGGAAATTCAGAGTTTGGGGGTTTCTGTTGGATCCCCTGCCTCAATGTTTTGGAAAAAATTTAAAATTATTAAAATAAATTTGTTCTGTGCTCCAGGTTGTCCCGAGGCTGACATTCTGATTTTAATTGTTGATCATCTGCCCCAGCAGAGCTTCTTATAACTGGACTCTGAGTTTGGTCAAGATACAGTTCCAGAGCACGTCTGTGGCCCAAGTTTTCCCAGCAAAAAATTCACAGTCTCAGTAAACAGTTTCTTGCAATTCATGCCAAAAAAAAAGGATTTAAAAAAAAAAAAAGTTGAATGCCTTCTGCCTAGATCAGTCTAAATATTCCAGCACAGCTTCTGGATCAGTCTAAATATTCCAGCACAGCTTCTGGAATGGGAAAATGCAAAGCCTGGGCTTTGGTGACATTTGGGTTGTGAATTCTTGTGGTTGCACGCTGAGTTTTGTGTTGATGCCCGAAATGAGAGCTGTGACAATATCTCCAGGAAGCTCCAGTGCCCTGTGCTTTGAGTGCTCTGAAGGGAGAGTCCTCTCCAACGTGGGGCTGCAGAAATGCTGCTGCTGAAGATGATGGAAAAGCCCCGAGATAATCCCGTGGTCATTAAGATTAAACATGAAGATTAAGGGCCCCAAATCTGCCTTTTGGAGAGATATGAATGTAGAAATAGGAGACTTCAGCTGATCTCTGTAGGTCAGCAGGGTTTATCGTGGATTTTCTCTTTGATTTTAACAAATTTGAATGAATTCAGCGTGGAAGGGAGTTCAGTTCTGTGCATCTGCAAAGAGGAGTTATTTTTAGCCCCTCTAGTTCCTCCTGCAGCCACAGGTTGGCTGAACTAATAAATCCAAGGTGACACCTCAGTCACACAGTTTTGGCTGATGTATTATTCTCAGATGTACCTTTAATTGTTTGTAGTATTTTTAGGATCGTGGCGATGAGCATTTGGGAATGAGGCAATTACCCATGTCCCAATTTTCCTAGATTTATGTTCACATCTACAAAAAAAAGGGTGCTGTGCTTACTGCTTTTATTTCATAAATGGCTGTGTGTTGGCAGTGCATTTTATATATGACCCAACTTCCTTTCCCAGCACTGTTTTTCCTATCATTTCTATATATCCTTACAAGCCAGGAAATGCTGAGAGCAATAAACTGAAGGAAAGACATCAATATATATCCTTCAAAAATTCTGGTGTGCTGGAAGTTGAGCAAGCTGTGAAAGGCAAATACACAGTTTTGCTAGGGAGAGGTTGGTGCTTTCTTCTTGGAGCTCAGCAGCCCAGCCAGCTGCTCATTTAGCTGATAATAATGTCATTAAACTGCACAATAATGCCATTAAACAGCAAGAGTTGTGTTGTGCAACTGCATCGAGTGTCTCTGTAAAAGGAACTTCACTTTGGCCATCCCCTAGGGGTTGTTCAAAGCTTCAGGAGGGTGTTGAGGGGGAGTGCTTTGATTCTGTGGTGTTTGCCATGGAAAATCCCAAGGAAAGGTTGTCACACTGGGTGTTAATAACTCGCTGTGTCCTGAGGTATTGAAAAAGGGTGACTCATCTGCATTTGCTCAGGTCCTTTCTGCTTTGGGAAGGAAGGAGAGATTGATTTCCTCTCTGAAGCCAGAGAAAACTCTGGTGGGATGTGATAACACCTGACAACATACCAGTCAATAACCCCTTTGTGGACAGGTCTCAATCATCTGTAAATATATTTGAAATAATTTAATGTGTGTTAGCATGATGTATTTCATTTTGTGTTCCAAAAGCCAAAAATCACATTGCTTCTTGTGCCTCATGATAGCAAACCAGCATTTTATAGTTTGTCAGCGTGGCACATGAAGTGTACCTTTAGCTTTAGAGAGAGAGTTTCAAGATTCATGTTCAGTGTGTTCAATTTATTCTCTTTTGTCCCTGTTTTCTCTTGCAGCAATCCAAAGTCTGCCAATCAGAGGATAAACAAAAAAGTCAACAATGATGCCTCGTTAAGGATTCAAAATTTGTCTATTTTGGTGAAACAAATCAAAACTTACTATCAGGTCAGTAATTGCTTCTTGTGTTGTGCTTTGCCTGGAATTATTGCTAAGTGTTCTTTTATAACCATGCCTTTGAACGTAAGAAAAATAAGCTGAGTATTTTGAGATACTTGTAGGAATGGTTGTTTATATATCTGGTCAGATGTTTTATCAGGTTTGATTTACAGCTGTAGTGGAAACACTTATATGTGAATTATGGAACAGATACTCTGTGTATTAAATTACTCCTGTAGCACAGTAAATACTGCTGGTTGATATTTGTGAGCTGCAGCAAGTTTTGTGCCTGTGAGGGACATTATTACAGTGTATTTAACGTTACCAGCGAAGGTTTTGTAAGAAAAACGGGGCAAAACACATTGGGTTTAGAATTAATTTGATTTTCAGCAGGACAGAACCTTTGCTCTGCCTCTCCCTGTGCACCCTGGCCTGGCCTGTGCTGATGTCTGTGCTCCTCCTGTGCACACATGGAGTGTGTGCTTTCCCAAACTCCGAGTGCAGTGAGAATTCCCAGCTGTCGCTGCCGGGAGCGGCCAGCGGACGTTATTCCAGCGCTTCCCGTCGTCCTGTCCTTGGCAGCCCCTGCACGTGGGTTTATGTGCTGCCTGCTATGACCCAGATGCTTTTCCTTTTCCTAATGGAAGTGGTTTTCCACCAGGCATTAGTGCTCCACAACTGGTGCAGCAGAAGGCACGGGCACTGACGGGATTGATCTTTATTGGAATACAAAGCGTTCCCTGTGCTCCACTGGCCTCGTGGTATCAGCCAGTCCTAGTGCTCCAGGACCAGGCAGAATTCCTGGCAGTTAGGTGAATGTTCAGGATTGGGAATGTTGCTCCAAACCTTTGTGAGAGAAAAGATTTATTATATCTTTATTTTAAAGTTAAAAAAGCATTTTTATTGAAGAAATGTTCAAACCACGCCTTTGAAGATCAAACAACACTTTAACTGTTTTACACACTTTCCTCCCCCTTTCCCTCCCCAGTTTCTTGGACTTGTGAGGTGCCTTATGTGAGGGAACATGGAAACACTGCAGGGCTGGTGTTTTAGCAGGAATAAGGATTTGTTTTGGGGATAAAGGGTGGGCCTGGAGCCTTTGCTCCCCCTCCAGCTCAGAGCAGAGCCGGGAGAGGCAGCTCAGCAAACTGAGCTGTGGGAGAGGCAGCTCAGCAAACTCCAAGGAAGGGTCAGTTGAGTTCCTGTCACCTGTGAAATCCCCCCAGGCAGGAAATCCTGGGCTTGATGGATGCCCTGGAATCAAACTGAGAGGCCTCCCATAGCCTGGGGTAGGAACCCTCACACCTGAGTGCTTCCCAGTGTTCCCTGTGTCTGCCTGAGATCCAGGAGCAGTGAACGTGGAAAGCAGTGGCTGTGCTGAGATCTGCTGTTTCTCCCTGGAATATTACAGCAGGAATCAGACATGGACATGAGGATTTTTAATTTTTAGCATTATGTTAACCTAACTCTTAAAGCTTCTTATTGTGAGCTTGTCTGTCTGAGTTTATTCCATGTGATTTTATAACATCTGTGGAAAATGCCCTCTCCGTTTAGCAAACAATTGCATCAGTTTGTGCTTGTCAGAAAAAACTGCTCTGGGAGGACATAACATGCAAAATTAAAATGGTATGTGTAAAGCTTTAGGAAAGGAAATACTGTCAGGCTCTAAAAGTTTGTAGGAGCAAGGTGGAATTTTGTAAACGGGCTGAATTGATTTTTGCAGGTCAAACAGGAGTTAAAAGATCTGGGAATTTTTTTCTAGGTTGGGAGCAGGTGCTGGAGTTAATGCAGGGTGACAGAGGAGGTGGCACACACCTCTGGAGTGAGGCAGAGGTGTTGTAAGGAAACAGGTGATAGTGTCATTTTTTGGTTGGTGTTGTAAGGAAACAGGTGACAGTGTCATTTTTCGGTTACTGCTGCTCACACTCTGCCTCATGGTATGGTGTGATCAGCTTTATGACAGCAGCATGGACTTATTGGAGCTATCACCAAAAAAAAACCAACAAGAAAAGCCACCAAGCCCCCAGTTTGTAGCAGTATTTGGTTTTCTTTCATGGTAGCTGTAAATACTCGTTGAATTCCTCGTGTTTTATCTGTTCTCTATAGATTTAAAACATCCTGTGGTGCCCTTCATATCTTCATTTCTTTGAAAATTGTCTTTATCAAGTGGGTAGTACAGCGTGGTTGAAATTCATGATCTCTGAGTAGGTCAAAAGCTGCTTTCTCCCTCCTCATGATTTGTCTCAGGCATGTGCTGTGAAAGCACATATTTTTCAGTCTAGTATTAATCCATTCAGGTATGACTTTTTATGTCCTGTATTAACTGGTGGGAACTTTCAAGTACAGCTATAACTAATAATTTCTACAGGTGTTTTTGAGGGAATGTTGGGCTTTTCTTAGGTTAGGTTTTTAGGCTGGAGTGTGACACCTCATACTGTTCTGGAATACATTGCCTTGGAGCAGGAACATTTTCTGTATTAATGACTCTGTCACTGTGGAAAAACAAAAAGCCTGGCTCCCGAGCTGCTGCTGGGATGGCATCTGCTGGGAATAAACATCTGGGAATAGGAGAAAGACTACTCTGCTTCAGGAGAATTAGGCTCTGTCTAGACTGAGGATTTGACCCGATTACAGCCGGTCCTGGCCAGGGCACCTCTCCATGGATGGAATCTGGGGGACAGACAGGCAGAGCTGCTGCCTGGCACTTCCATCCAATTCCATGGCACTGTGCAAACAGGGGGTTGTACCTTTATCCTCACAGCTGTCCCAGTGTCACTGCACCAAAGCCCCCCGGGGATTTTCACATCCACCTTTTGGAGAAGCCAAAGAGACCCATGGACGGGAGAGGAAATTGATATTTTGCACCATAAATGCAGCTCAGAGCCAAGAAAATAAACATCTATCGATAGCTTACCCAGAGAAACACAAACATAATAATTTAAAGGGGTTTTGCTGCATTCTCACTGAGGATCTAGTGGGCTTAAGATCTATAAGCCAGCTCATTGCCACGAGAGGATTCTGCTGTGTGGAGATGACCATGCAAACCAGTAAAACAGGGCTTTTGTAGCACTAACTCATAGCTTGTAAGTTTGGTTTTTTTAATTAGAGTCCAGATAATTAAGTGTTTAACATCTATGCATTGAGACCTGAAAAAATTCAAAGTATTTATGTAACACTAGTGGTTGTTGGTATTTGATGTTTGCTTTCCTTCAATACATATGGTGTAAATGACATTGTAATTAACTTTTACAGGAGAACTTGCAGCAGCTCATCATGATGTCTTTGCCAAATGTGTTAATAATTGGCAAAAATCCCTTTTCTGGTAAGTTTATTTTTGACTAAGATAAGAATGTGCACTGGTGTGATAATTTGTGTGAGTTCACTGGAAATAAAATTCATATAGGATCGAGCCTTTTGACAGAAAATTGTGTGAATGCTTTGGCAAATAAGCGGGTTAATGATGAGGAGGAATGGTTTAATGATTTAATAATGGTTTTCTTTGTTCACACAAGGGGTCCACACTATGTAAAAATGTGATTTGTCCCTCTCTCAGGATTTATGTTGGACCAGAGTTCATTTCCCAGCGACCAGTGAGCCACTGATAGCACAGAGTTTAAGTTTCCTGTACTCCCAGCTACTGCACTTCCAACTCCCTTTACCTGTGTCACCGCTGAGGAAATTCAATGCATCTCACTTAATCCAGCTCCTAATCCCTGTTTTTCCTTCCCCCAGATCCCTGCTTCTCTTGCATCCTTACCTGACAATTATTGCTCTGACCTTCTCGCTTTCTCCCCCGAACTGACACTGTCTTCTCCATGCTCCCACCTTCTCTGCTTCCAGCTCTGAGAGTTGCAATTTTGAGCCCAGGACACTTAGCCTGTGTGGAGCCAGCTGACTGTCCACAGCCTCCTGGGAATCTCTGCACCATGCTCTCAATTCCAGAAGCACGGAGCAGACACACCTGGCCTGCATGGAGCCACTCTGGATGGGGCAGAGTTTATTTGCTTGGGTCTAATGTGTCCCAGGTTCTCCTGATGTTCTGACACCTCAGCAGAGAGGTTAGGAACTCCTCTAACAGGCTGTGCAGCTTCCCCTGGCTTGTTTTATTTATTTGGGATGTCTCCTATCCATGCTTCCGTGTCTGTGACACCAGGGCTTTCTCATGAGCCAGAAGAACCATCTGTGTTTCCTCACTTTGCAATCCCAAGGTTCATAACCTTGGTATTTTCCATATCCCATCTGCACACATCCCATTTATGTAGGTATCTTGCTTTTTAATTCTTTTTTACCTGCTGCTTTTGGATATTGCTGCTTTTGCTGCTGAGGTCACAGCCTTTTGAGTTTCTCTGTGTGTAGCTGCTGTCATATGCACAAGAAGTGTCAATGTGGTCTCTTCTTTTCCAAGACAATGGAATGCACCATGCTTTCCTATTTTGATTCCAGACTTTCTTAAGGTTTTCGAAAGACTCCGTGGATTTTATGGAAAAAACAGATTCGAAAAAAAAACCCCAGGTCATTGAGTTTTTTAGTGATGTTTATTTTTCTCTTCAAGATACTGAGACAAAGTGTCTTGGTATTGTGTTGTATAAGATGAAATTTTATTAAAACTGCACTATAAAACCCCACAGAGATAATAATGCATTTAGCTGTACACATAAAAAATCTGTGCCTTGTCATTAATAAGTAGGTGTCTTCGTGTTTTGGGATCTCAGCCACACCTGTGCAGCTTCTGTGGTTTGGCAGCTGGAACCTCTGCTGGTGTGTGCATTGCTCTCCTGTGGGTTTGGGAGAGAAAATCAGGACTTCCCTGTAGCACAGCCCTCGTATTAAAAAAGAATTGTTGTGTTTGGGCAACATTCTTGCAGGTGTTTCACATTCCTGCCCCAGTCCCTCACTGGGTCTGAATCCAGAGATAGGCCCATTCCTTTGGGGTCCCTCCTGAACCTTTCCCCTTTGGAAGTCAGGCCTTGCTGTGTCAGCTAATAAGGATCTCGTTCCAGGATGGATTTTTAAGCTTTATTTGGTGGGCAAGTGCAGGGCTGTTAAAGCCTTGGAGAGGCCTGCAGTGTAAATCTGATTGCCCCAAGGCGAGGCCCTGCAGCAAAAGTCAAGGCTCTGATAATCACTCGGATTTGCTCCACTAAAGCTTGGGCTGGAGCTGGGATTTTTCACAGGAATGTCTCCTGGTTGTTCCCCTTAAGGAATGATCAGTAGGGAAATAGCAGGAGATCAGGAATTGCAGGAGCAGATGAGATTTAAGGAAGAGAAACGCATCTGACTCCATGGGAGGCAGTTGGCTCAGCCAGGGAAATGCAGGTGGAATGCTGGGTTTGAGCTCTGACAAAACGGGTCATCAGGGACTTTATCAGGAAACATCTCAGCTGAGCTAATTGGCAGGAAGCCAGTTGGAGGAGAAAAGTGGAGGAGAGGAGCTGCAGCCTGGAAATGGGAAATTAAATTACAGGGGGGAAAGGGGAGAGGAGATAATGACGAGAGGAAAAAGGCCTTTAAACGGGGGAAAGGGGAGATTAAAGCAAGGCCCTGTTTCTGAGGGAGCCATCCAGGGGAGGTGGGAAAGTCAGGGATGAGAGGGAGTATGAAAGTCAGGGATAAGAGTGGGCACAGGGAAGATCAAAGGGGAGCACAGGGTAGGGACAAAGTTCAAGCAGCGAGTTGGAGGGTGTAGAAGAGAGTGATAATGATTATTTCTGTGTTTGTGGTGGAGGGAAAGGAAGCAAAACACACAGGATGTTTGGCAGCAGGGGGAAGCTGAGGTTGGTCAGTGTTTTGCAGTGTTCCTTCAGGGAATGGGGGACAAAGACAAGGCAGCAGTATTCAGGTGGGTGTTTAAAAAAAACCAGTCAGGAGCTGGGGAGTGAAGAGGAGTTCAGGGCTTGCTTAAAAAATAAAAAAGTGTGATTAATTTATTGGGATAAAAGATGGATGTGAGCTGTTGGGATGGATTCCTCCTGTTCCAGTATTCCAGTTAACCTTCATTAAGACAGGCAGCCAGGTGGAATTCCCCTTCTTCAGCCAAAGTGGCTTCTGGTAAAACACACTCATTGATGTTTTTTTTTCTGTTTCCACCTAAAAGGCTTCCCAGCTCGAGACTTTGGGATGCAGGAAGTGTATAAATGATTAAAAATCTCCCATTTGAGTTCGTGTTCTTCGTAACTTGGCTGAACCTCCCATGAAAAAAAAAATCTAACATTCTGTGTTCATTGGGATTATCCCCATAATTTAGCTCCCTCTGAAAGAAGTGGGCTGAGTCAATGCCTGAGCTATTTTGCCCTCCTCGAAGGCTTTGCTTCATGGCATTTATATTCTAGATATAGACTGTTATTTCTATATTTAGTAGCAAGACGGGGACATTTTGAATGTGAAAAGTAAGAAACGTTTTTTACTAATCTGTAAACAGAGTTCTTTCACTTAAGCTTCTTTAGGAGATTAAGATGCTTAAGGGCAGATTTGGAAATACATTTTGATTTTTTTTGATGTGCAGATGAATATCTAATGCAGCTTTGAGGAAAGAATTTAGGGGAACTTGTCACCTAACTCTGCCAGCTTGGGGGTGGCAGGGAATTTAAACACTGGTGGAACTTCTCTGGAGGTACCTGAGGTGACCACTGAAAATTTGATTGTAGGTCTCCAGAGTGCTCCTAAAAATGTTGCTCTGAAGTTTTGCTTTTCCAAGGGCTGAATTTATGTGGGTTTTTTTGTCCGTTTCAAATTGTTCTATTATGGATGTTGGGTTTTTAACTCTGAAAATTGGCAGTGAAATGGCAAAAAGCACTAAGCTGAAAGGTGGAAAGATGGGGCTTTCCTCCTCTGTTTGTTTTCTAAGCAAGGTTAACATAAATTAGTGGAAATAGTGAGAAAACCTGATGTTTTCTGAGGGGTAGGGGAAGAAGCCCAAATTACCATTTTACACCTACCGTTTTTTCTTCTTGTTTTCTCCTTAGAGCCAGGTACTGAAGAAGTAAAAAAGCTCCTCCTGCTTTTACTTGGTTGTGCAGTTCAGGTGGGTTTAATTATGTTTACATTGGTATGGAATTGTTTTATCTGTTCCTGATCTCTTTTCTTACTATTTTAATACCTGAGGTGGTGTCAAACTTAGTTCTCCCTTGCTCCAGTGCTACTAAAATCTGAATATTCTGACAGTTAAAAAGGCTGCAACCCTGCACCTCTTACTGCACAAAACATGGAATTTCTGATAGTTTATTCATTTCAATAGTGTTCATTTACCTGATGCTGTAAAGAAAGGAAGAAAATAGTAAACTACTGAAGAATTATCTTGCTGATACATCTTACTGCATCTGTTTCATGTATTTAATAAATGCACTATCATAATATTTGAACAAGGAGCTATTTTAAGAAAACTCTTCCTTGCCCCATTTCAACCTGTTTTTTCTTTGTCATTAGTGTTGAAGAGTTATAATTACTGTAGCATGATATAAACCCAGGGTTTTATTGCTCAGCAGAATGACTGAGTAATAATTTAGTCATGTGAACATTGCAATGGCAACTTTATAAGTTTTAAATCTTAGCATTCTAAAAGAGGAATGCTAATACTTGTGCTGATACCCATATAAAATATAGGTGTCTTTATTTTTTAGTGTCAGAAAAAAGAAGAATTTATCGAAAGAATCCAAGGCCTGGATTTTGACACCAGAGCAGCTGTTGCAGCCCATATTCAGGAGGTACATTGGGGGGTTTTTTTGTGCTTTTAATTTATTTTTTTTTGAGGTGTAATGCTGTGCTGCAGGAAGATGGATTGCATTTGTTCAAAAGCAGGTCAGTCAAACGTGTGATTTGCGTATCTGGAGGTTTTAGTAAGCAGAAAAAGTCTTTGTTTTTTTGCTTGATTCACAAAAAGATTTCGTGACGGAGCATTTTTGGGTTACACTGTTAAAGCAGTACCAGTTGCTTCAAGGCATTCTTAAGAGTTACAGCAAATGAAGTTTAGTGATGTTTTCATGTGCAGATTTATTTATAAAATATAATCCCAGTCCCACATTTGTGATGTCTAATATGTCATGGTCATGGTCTAATATGTCTGGCTTTTTGTTTTGCCAGAGGTACAAGGGGCTGCTCTCAGGTAGACAAGAAACTCTTTCCATTTCACACAATTTAATCTATTAAATGAATATATTAATATTTTCCCACCTTGCCGAGAGGATTTAACCCACAGGGTTGCAACTTTATTTTTCTTTGTGCTCCCTTTCTGCTCTGACAAGTCCTAGAGGAAGTTTTTTCTCTCTCGTTCCGTCCCGTGTAGGTCACTCACAACCAGGAGAACGTGTTTGATCTGCAGTGGATGGATGTCATTGTGCTGACACAGGAGTATGTGGAACCTCTCTTGAAAAACATGGCACTGCATTTGAAAAGACTTATAGATGAGAGAGATGAGCACTCAGAGGTACGGATTGGGGTTGGGAAGGGAAATACAAGGCCGGGGTTATCATGAGGCTGTGTGAGAGTGAAGAAACAGGAATGTGTTTAATAACCATTACGAGTTCTGGACCATCTCGGTGGTGCCAGGTTTGCCCCTCAGTGGAGTGTGACTGTGTCAATGTTGCAATTATTCCAAATGTTCCTTGGATGGGCAGCAACTGCTTTTCCTGCTCACAGCCTTGATAGGAGTCAAACACAGGGTAGAGGATGTGTAGTGATTCTTTTTTGCAAAGCAAAAGAAAAATAGCTTTAAAATACGAGAGATCTTCGTGTTTGGATAACACCCTTATTTATCTGAGGAAATAGGGATATTCCTGTGGGTCTGTTGCTTCCCTCAGCTGGCAGGGATGCTGCTGCCACCAGAGAGCATCTTTGGAGACACCCATTTATCCTCACGTCCCAGGAATTCTTGCCTTTCACTACCCAATCCATTCTGAACACTGAGAACGTTGTGCACTTTAAAAGTCTAAATTTCCAGTTAAAAATAAAGGAGCCCAAACACTCCTGTTAAACACCCATGGCTCTTTGCTTTGTGGGTGTAGGGCTACAAGCAGGGCTTTGAACTCCCTTAGGGGTGTGCTGGTTTAAAGGTAAGCCAGCAGGGGAAATGAACTCAACTCAAAGGAGAGATTATAAGTCAGAATAACAATTTAATAAAATAATACGATAAATAGGATTATACAGACAAACAGTTGGTTTTAACCCACAGAACCCAAATGTATAACCCAGCACCCTGGGGCATGAACAGAGGGGTGTTCCTTGGACCCCCTGAGGCCAAAGTGAAAGGAGAGGGAAAAAACCTGTTGGTGAGAGTGGTGATTGCAGTCTGGTCGAGAGTGGTGGTTGCAGTGTGGTTGAAAAGTGGTCGTTGCAATCCAGTGAAGAGTGGTGGTTGCAGTCTGGTTGAGAGTGGTGGTCTGTAGTTTTCCTCTGGATGCCACAAGTGGTTAAAAAAGTCCCAAGACCCCAAGATTATCTATCCTCCAGTTCAGGCAGGAATGCCCAGTGCCTCCCTCAGGACGGGGAGCTCCACAGTGGGTGTGAGCACAGGAGCATCCTCCTGTCTCAGGGGCCTCTTAACACCCAGTTTATAGCCTGAGGAGTCAGGGGTGCTCTGGGCAGAGGGCGTAAATGGTCTGTTGAGAACAGTTTCTGGGCAATGGCATGGAAGGCTCTAGAATACACAGTTTTGGGTTACACCCATCCAGTGATGAACTGGTCCCAACTAGGACAAGAGATCGAAACCTTTCCGCTATTCCTGCATCACTCTGGCCTTTGGTCTGTTAAAGGTGCAGGTTGGTGGCTGTCTGAGGGCAGTTGTGTATTTTTCCTCCCTGTCCTTGTTCTCCCCCGTGCCAGACCATCATCGAGCTGTCGGAGGAGCGGGACTGTCTCCGTTTCCTACCTCACGCGTCGGCGGCGCAGTCCCCGTGCGGCTCCCCCGGCATGAAGCGCACGGAGAGCCGGCAGCACCTCTCCGTGGAGCTGGCAGATGCTAAAGCCAAGATCAGGAGGCTCAGGCAGGAGCTGTGAGTACCTGTGTTCAGTTGAAAACGTTCATTTTGGCACACTGGGAGTGGTCTTCAGGCAAATCCTTTGTCCTTTCAAACACCGGTCGATGTGGTTTTTTTGGAAGCGTGTTTTTATAATTGGAACGGGTTCGTGGAGCCAGGTGGCAGACACAGCTTTTCACCTGTGCCTGTCTGGGTTTGTGTTCTGGATCATATGGATGTTTTAGCCATGAACACACTGAACTCGGTGCCAGTTCTGTGTCTTCAGTGCTCAGAGCAGCCTGAAGAACTGGCTGTGTTTGAGCAGTGTCTGGAGTGTGTTACAGCACAGTAACGGGCTCTTTGCTCCACAGAACTCGTCTCTTGGAAGTACTCACAGCTAATTTAATGCAGCCCTTTTGCTCTTACATATTTTGTAAATATTGTTGTTTCAGAGGCACGCTCTTTGTGCTTGCTCTGTTGTTCATTATCGTTAATGAATGTCTGACTGCAGTTTTAGTACTTGTGTGTTCAGCTGTGTTCCTGAGAGAATATCTCTGCAGTTGAGGCAGCTCTGGGGTGGCACACTCAGCAACAGGCAGGTGGGGACTGGAAGCAAGAGCTGTGTGCTGACCACTCAGGGATCAGTGGCAAAAATATCCTTTTTAAAAGGAAGTAGTTCAGGAGTAGTTCCTGCTCAGCAGCAGGTTCCTTCTCAGTGACCTGCTTCGTGTTGGAAGCACACCTGTGGTTCATTGATGCTTCATGAAGTGTTTAAATTTATTGCAGACAGGACAAAAATCTCCACTAGAATAATTTCCTGTCCCCCATCTCTTAATTTCTTTCTGTGTAAAAGGTTTCTTGTCTGCATGACACTTGTTTTCTCCTGATCCAGCAGGTATCAGTGGGTGCTTTGTCTTTAAGTCTAGGAACAAATCTGAGCAGAGTGAAGGGTAATTTAAAGAGAAGAACCATAATGGACCTGTGGAGAATCTGTTGTTTTAGCAGAGTGAAATGTGTGTTCTGAATTAAGAACACAGATGTTAAACCTGAAGAGGTTCAGCATGTACAGTAACTTGCTATAGTGTAGAAACAGCTTTAAATAAAGATTATTTTTTCAAATTCAGCAGAGAGAGGAGACAGGTAAATTAAATTACCAGCTGAAGGTGCACAAGTCCCAGTTGGCAGTTTGCTGCCCTGCTGGTGTCAGAGTTTGTTGATCAGATCATTTCTAGCTGGCTGCATTAAGTATCTCGTTGACTGACTCCCAGGATCCCCTTCCCCCACCACACCGTGGTCTTCCCGAGGAACAGAGGACAAAAGAGGGGGCTCTTTTTCCCTGATGTCTGTATCATTGTGTGGCTGCTGCAGTGAGCCCGCCCAGGATATTCTATAAACAGCTGCACCAGGAAAATTAGTGAAAAAATTGCTGTTATTAGTTTGATTGACAGCTAATAGATAGCCTAAACAGTGAACACTGGCACGTTCTGTATAATTTAGTCCAATCCTCTCCAGCGTGGAGCTGAAGGATGCAATTAGGGCAGCACTGATGGCTCAGAACAGTTCACATTTTACACTCTTCAGTCCATAAATAAATTTCCTTTGCGTGCAGCAGTATCTGTAAAACACCAGACTTGGCTACATTACCTTCTGGCTGCAGCATTCACTGTTAAAATGCTACATCTCTTTGATTTAATTTGAAATTACGTGAATTCCACAGTTGAAAATATTCAGCTTAATGTTTATTCCTAATCTGGCTTTGGCACTGGGCCTTCATACCTGCTTTAACAGGCACCGGAGCCGCTGTAATTTCATATAAAAAGGTCCACAAAGGTTATTTTTCACTCGGATGCAAAGCAGGGATTGGAGGCTTGGAGTACAGAAACCTTGGAGCTGGAAGTTGCACACCTGGTTTGCTGTGTGGAACAACAACAGGAGTGTGAATGGTCGTGGAAGAGTCACAGAAATCCAGGATCCGTTGTGTCTGTGGGCAGGGATGCTGCACTGAGCTGCCTCTCCTGTGTTTGTAGGCTCTCAGTGACCTTTTCCAAACAATGTCTGCTTGCAAAAACATCCTTCCTGGTGAAATTGGCTCGTTTTTGAGAACAACTGCTCTGGTTTAGTTTAAAACAGATCTGGTTTTTTTATTAGTACGGTTTTGCTTTCAGATTGTATTATGCATTTCAGTCCACTCAGTTCTCTTATTTCCCCCTTATCCACTCATTCCAAAATGTGAAATAACACAGTAACACCTTTCAATGTGCAATATATCTTTTAAGATCATACAATATTGGATGGGGCAGGTCTTTTCAGCAGCAAATTCTGTTTGTTCTGAGGTGCAGTTGAATATTGAAGATCAGGTATTGTGTGTCTTTGAGACAATTAATTATTTCCCTTGCACTTACTGATTGTTTAACAAACTCGTTTCTGAAGGATTGAGAAGTAAGTGTTAGTTGGAATTTAAGGAGGAGTCCTGTCAGAATTGTAATATTCTCTGACAAATTTGATTTATCACAGATTTGAGTAGGCTAAGACACTTGTTCCCATAAAACTAAAATTCATTACGTGTTTCATGACATTATTAAGCAGAATCTTATTCAATTGAGTAAAGGCACCTGAAGGCCTTATTTCTCCTCTGTAAGGAAAAGAAAAATGATAGAACAGAAGTATAGAAATGCTTTTAAAATTGGTTTTACCTGATCTGTGGCAGGATGCATCAGTGGCCATTGGAAAATATTTAGACCTTTCCAGTGTATATTCTGAAATAATTCTGAGTTTCCTTTTGGGTGTGAATCTCCTGGTACATATTCATGTGTATTCTCTTATTACACCCTGTTTTCTGCCCTGCACAAGTAGGAAATCTTGGGGAACAACTTGAAGGACTGGGAAAAGTCTGAGCAAATTTAAAAGATTAGCTAAAGACTAAACCCTAAAGGATGTGATGTCCCCGAGATCGTGGATTAGAGGGTGACAGTGTCACGGATCTCAGCGTTTGGTTCTCAGAGGAGATGATTATGAGCAGGTTTTGTGGTTGCATTTCACTGGTTTGTGTTCTCTCTTTTAAGGGAGGAAAAGACTGAGCAGCTGCTTGACTGTAAACAAGAACTTGAACAGATGGAAGCTGAACTGAAGAGACTTCAGCAAGAGGTATGTTTAGGGAAAAAAAAAAAGGACAAAAAATTGTTGCCTCCACCAGAACAATTCCCCCTTTTTTGGTATTAATAAGTATATTTTCATTAATATTATTTCTTTTATTTTGCACTCTGAACATGACCTGGTGTAATTTATTCCTTTATTTGGTATATTATGCTGGAAAAAAAAATACTCTGAGATAGGTTAGTGTTTCTTCTTTCATTTTTTTTTTTTTTTTTTCCAAAAAAATTGTGCGCGAGAGTGTATCCTCTGAGCTTCTATTCCCAAAATCAACACCCTCAAATTTGGTCTGGTTCCCCTTTATACTTTGGGTCTGTGTGTGGACAGTGAGGGAAAACATCTGTTTAGTTTATTATTAGGATGTGAGTGTATAAAATTATCAGGAGCCCTTGAAACAGGCGTTTTCCTTGGAAATGCGTCACCCGGCTCGAGCATCCAGCGCACCGGTTTTAATTTACCTTTGTCAAAACGAGCTGATGTTCCTCTGCAATCCCTGGATTTAACTGAGGAGCACATCCTGCCTGCAATGCCTGTGTTTCCCTGCTCCCAGAACATGAACCTGCTGTCGGATGCCCGCTCTGCCAGGGTGTACCGGGACGAGCTGGACGCGCTGCGGGAGAAGGCGATCCGGGTGGACAAGCTGGAGAGCGAGGTCGGCCGCTACAAGGAGAGGCTCCACGACATCGAGTTCTACAAAGCCAGAGTGGAGGTACTGTCTAAGTCCCCAGACCCACGATGCCAAAATGGGCAGAAACGAGACTGCCCAGAGACAGTTTTGAGTCTTTTAAGCAGCAAAGGTATTTATTTTGAGCAACGCGGGGGAACCGGCTCCCAAACCAGCTCCCAAAGTTCTCAGTGAAAAGCCAGGTAATTGATACAGTTTTTATGAGTGATTACAACATCTCTACGTGCATATTAATTTAATTTCACAACCTAATTATCATATTCATAATAGGCAGAGTCTAGGTGGGGTTTCAGACGGAGCTGTCCTTTTAGGGAGTCCTCTGGTGGTCTTTCCAGTCCTTCAGCCTCAAGAGGATCCTCTTTGTCATCAGCTTTTCCTGACTACGTACTGGGAGCATGTGAAAACCCCCCCTGATTCAGCTGTTTATCTCCCCAGATGTCCTTTCTATCTAATTCATGACTACTGAGTCGTCCTTTCTGTTCTCTTTTCATTAGTACAGAACATACATAGGCAAAGCTCTGGAACAGGGTGACCCTTGTCCCTTTAACATTAATGTTGCATTCCTCAGAGTGAGGGGCTGGAACATCCCCTCAGAACAGAATTCCAGCAGCTCAGAATTCTTGTTTGGTTTCACCCAACACAAAAAAACTCTGGCAAAGAGCTAAGGGAAAAAAAAAAAACTATGAAAAATCCAAACTAGCCAAACTATACAAAAATAAACGTATTTATGTATGTTCACAGTTATATATGGTTGAAATATTATGTGGAATCCTCTATGTAGGATATGTTGAGAAACCCAAGGAGAGATTAATTTAAACAATGCTGTAAAATATAATCATTTCACTCTCCTCTTGTGGATCTCCTAAGGGAAGACAGTTTTTTAAGTAAAGGGTTGAGGAAATGGTGGCTGTTGACATAAATGAGTCCAGCACAATGGTGTTCCATGCATAAAACACCCTAAAAAAAGCTGTGCTGACACCAGGCAAGGGGGACTGACAGTTCTAGGAATTAATAATTTAGGAAACAAATCAACATGCAGGATTTTATTAGCCCCCCATTCTATCTGTAAATGCCAAGTTCACTGGGCAAATGCCATATGATAAGAAAATTGGGAGAGGAAAAGAGATTAGTGTACAGGATTTGAAACCAGTGGGAATTTCATTTTCATAAAATGCTTAAACTAGTAAAAACCCTAAAATTTGTTGATGTGTTTCAAGCTTGTAAACTGTCTGATTTTTCAATAGAGGCAGATGCCAATCAGTTGGGTTTGCTTCATCATAATAATAATAATTACAAGTTAATATTTGTGAGGGGAGGAGTGTGAATGATAAATATTTATGTTTTACTCACTAATCTTTTTTCAGATCTTGCAGCTGACTGTGCTGAAGTTTGAAAAGTTTTGTCTTTCTATCATGACTAGAATTGCCAATCCTGTGTTTCTACACGTTATTGTCGCCAGGTGCCATTAAAAGAAATCCTCTGTGTGCAGAAATTAAAGGTGTTCAGGACCTTTGGGAATGGCTGGTTGTATTTTAGGGATGTGGGTACATTTTCAGCATCATGGCCTGACTTTGGGCCCAGTGGCCTATAAACCTAATTATGGGCTGTACCTGCAATACATCTTCCCAGATCAGAGCTCAAATAATTGACATATTTGTATTTGGTTATAATTATCAACACTTTAATTATTATGAATGGTTTAGGGAGCATTTAATCTAATTTATGTGAAGTTTTGTTGTCATAAATGTGTTGTTTTCTAATAAGTCTGTTACAACTTCCAAATGAATCTTTTTGGCATTAGGTTTCTAAAACTGGTGGTGAAGTTTGTGTGAACAAGGAAATACTTCTGAGATTTTTTGTTGTTGTTGCTTAATTCTTGCAGGAGTTGAAGGAAGACAATCAAGTGCTGCTGGAAACCAAGACAATGTTGGAAGATCAGTTGGAGGGGACTCGAGCCCGTTCAGACAAACTGCACGAGTTAGAGAAGGAGAATCTGCAATTAAAAGCTAAATTGCATGATATGGAGATGGTGAGTGCCAGGACAGGGTGACAAGACAGTTGATGCACACTGAATTTCATGCCATTTTTAATAAAAGAACCTCCAAAATAGTGGGGGAGAGAAGGAAGGGGCCTCTTGGTTTACTGACACATTAGTAAGAGCAATAGGATCAGTTTTTTGGATGTGATGACAGTCTGTTGTCACTTAAATCCTGTGTTTACCCTGGATACCCTCTTTCCTGATGTTTGGAAAGAAGTGAATTTGGAAAAGGTGAAGAACCATTGCTGAAGGTTATGAGGAGAAGAGGTTCCTCTCTACTGGTTGTTCCTCTTCCCTCCAAAATTCTCCCTACTTTTGCCATTTTTTCCCCCTCACACTTGGGAGGGAGGAGATCCCATTAGCAAACCATAAAATGCACTTTCCACTTCTCTGTGATGTACCAGAGAATAAAACACTTGGCACACACACTGAGACTTTTCCAACACGTGCAATGATTTTCCAGGAGCGTGACATGGACAGAAAGAAGATTGAGGAGCTCATGGAGGAGAATATGACCCTGGAAATGGCTCAGAAGCAAAGCATGGATGAATCTTTGCATCTTGGCTGGGAGCTGGAGCAGATCAACAGGACTACTGAACTCTCTGAAGGTAAAAATGCCCAGTTAATGCTGCAGAGGGGTGAAATGGGAAAATTGCCATCTCAGAGACTGCACAGCATTAGGAAATGAAAGGTCCTTGTTTCTGAAGTGCAGGGTCTGTTGTCCTCTGGAGAGGTGCTCGTTCCCAGGTATCCTTGGAGACACAGTCTGCATGAGAAGTCTGCTCTTGTCACTCTTGTTCAGTTAAACTGAGGTGTAAACGCCACAAATACCTTGAAGTGACTTTACTTTCCCATTCAGAGCAGATCAGGACTGTTCTGGCTTTGTTCTCAGAGTTAAGAAGTTTTATGCAGGGATAGCTGTGGCAAAAATGTGGATTATCCCAGTATAACATGCTCGGTCATACACTGGATCCCTTGTGGAAATTTAGAGATACACCCTGAGCTGTGGGAAACAAATGTCTGCTGGGATTAGGAACACTGGGAGAGCAGAACATTTTCTTTGCTGCATCTGCTGGGTGATTAATCCAAGAAGGCCTTGGAGGGCCTTCAAAGGCTGCTAAATCCCCTAAGTCTGAAAATGCCAAGTCCCGAGAACCCCAGGTTAAAATTCCCTTTCTTTTTTTTCTAATAATGGTGTTTTTCTGCCACAGTGCCACAGAAATCACTGGGCCATGAGGTGAACGAGCTGACATCCAGCAGGTTGCTGAAGCTGGAGATGGAAAACCAAAGTTTGCTGAAGACAGTGGAAGAACTGCAGAGTGCCGTGGGTTCTGGGGAGGGCAGCAGTTCCAGGATCCTGAAAATGGAGAAGGAAAACCAAAGACTTAGCAAAAAGGTAATGGAGTTCTGTGTCAGCTGCCTAGTGTTGGGGGTTGTTTTCTTTCTAAAGGATGATTTTACCAGTTGCTGTTATTTTTGGTGAAATATGACAAGGTTCTAAGTGGTGTTATGGTAAAAAATAAAATCACCTCGTAGTGGTTTTTCTCTTTTGGGTTTTGCCTGTTTGTTCCTGTAAGAATGTGACCAGTTGATTCTTACACCACTGAGGGAAATATATCAACATATTTGGGATATAATGAGTAATGAGAGTGTTTTAAGGTACTTGGAAACATTAATTTTTGTAATTATTAAGCAGGAGAAAGTGCATGTGAAAAGTTGGGCCCGTGTCCTCATTTTTAGGTGAGAAAGCAAGAAGGTGGGTCAAGGAATTGAGGAGCAGGTGAAGAGAGGAATTTGTCAGATTAATCCATGCTGATCTACAGTGTTTTACTGCTCCAACTATATCTATCAAAGAGACTAATTCAGTCAGTGATATTTATAGAAAATAAAAATTTTGGGAAAAAAACCTGGCTAATTACAGTGGAGTGAAATGTCTAAAGTTCCTGAAATAGCTTTTCCTTCAGCAGCTGTTCCAAGTGAAAGACTATTCTTAGAGTGGGTAAGAGATAATTAGAAAAAAAAAAAGGGAGAATTGAAAGAAATCCCTCCTGTATTCCATAATTCTCTGAGTTTCTTTGGAGTGTCCCAGGGGTACAAAAGGAAGGAAGAGGGATGAGAAGCACACAAATGGGATTCAGGTCAACAAATTGCTTCATGGAGGAACAAATTCCAGCCTACTGCCTTTTTGTGACTCTGTTTCTGAGTATTTAGGTGCAATTACTGCCTGATTCAGGTGATTTGTTCCTAAACATTCCCCCTGTGTGGGGTCTGAGTTATGTGGACATTGAATATAGATCTTCCAGCAGGTGATTTTTTAAAAGTGCAACTTGTGTGTTGCTTCTAATTAACTTATTATGACTTAAGTGTGACCAAAATAAAATAAATCATACTTTGGGTATTTTAAATTTTAAACAGCTTTGCTGTCTGGTGACACCGATTTGGAACCGTTTGGCAAAACCAACCTAAGATTGAATTCCCAAGGAATCATCATAATTATCTCTTGAAATAGTTAAGTAAGATCAAACAGCATTCAACCTTTTATAAGTTAAAAGGGACTTGGAGGAACAGTGTAAATCTCAGTAAAATGGAATTTTAAGAGGCAAAAAAAAAAAAAGATGCTTAGGGAAATATCCAGAGCCTGAGAAAACCTGACCCTTTTTTTTTAATGCAAAAGAACTTTATAGATACAGTCTACTGAGCCAGGGAGAAAATTCTGGCAGAAGTAAATGTATTCCCAGAAGAAATTAGTTGTTTCAATTAAAGATGAGAAAATTCCATTTTATGTGTTCTCTTCTGTGTTTTATATGTTGATTCCTACGAGGGTCCCTTCGAGCTAAGAGTAATACGAGTGTCAGTTTTTAAGTGCATTTTAAAATAAATTTGTCTCTCTTTTCCCAGCTGGAAGAGCTGGAGAATGAAATGAGCCAAGAGAAACAAAGTCTTCAGAACAGTCAAAATCTGAGCAAGGATTTGATGAAAGAGAAAGCACAGCTTGAAAAGACACTGGAAGCACTTAAAGAAAACTCCGAGCGACAAGTGAGCGCGGAATTCCGAGTTTTCCCTCTGCTTTGTGCTCTGCTGTTCTCCTTTTGTGGGTTTTTCCCAGGCAGGAGGGGACTGTAAATGTGGATTTGTGCAGCCAAAGGGCTTTGCTGAGCCCTGCAGTGAGAGACAGGACTCACTTCACTGGGACTTTACTGCTTTAGAACTTTTTTGGGGGGTTAAAATGCTTCTGTGGCTTCTGCGGGCTGGGCATTGGCTCCGAGGGTGTAGCTCAGCCAAGATAGAAATTTGGGAAGTTTGGAGGGAAGGCAGACACCTCTCCATGGAGCAGAACAGGTCCCAGGCAGCTGGGCAGTGTTTGGAGCAGTGTCAGTGTTCATAACAATTCCAGCAGCCTGTGCCACGGGTGGGATCCACCACATCCAGCTCCATCCTTGCCCCCTCCACCGGAATGTTTCCCAGCTGGCACTGTCTGGGCTTATTTCTGGGAAAAGCAGCGGTGATCTCAGGGGGGTGAGGGAATCCTGATGGCACTCAGCAACAGTTTGAGAGGAGACACATCAAGGTGACACTGATTTGTGAGTTAAAAAGGACCCCTGGACACACTGCTCTGAAACAGAGAAAGGAAATCGGGAAGAATTGTTTTCTTCCTAGGAAACATATTCCTGCATCTACCTCAAGGATAAAGGCAGAACTTCCATCTCAATTTTCACTTTAACTGGCACCTGGGTCTTTGTAAAGATGAGCCTGCACCTGGTGGGCACTGGCACCTCCTAAAGGTGTCTGCAGAGCAATCCAGAGGACACATGGAAAAAAGTCTTCTGGAAACTTCTGGGAATCCCATATTTAATAACTGTGTCCTTCAGAATTAGAACTGGAGTTATCTTTTATTTTTCATGTGTATCTTTTTATGTAGTTATTCCACTTACACCCCCTGATGACATTGCCATTTTTAAGTGCAATTTGAAAAGCACAGTATTCTGAAATAGAGAATATTGTGTTTCAGAATGCTGAAGGTTTTTAAAGGCCTGATTTTTAATCAGTAAATGAAATTCCAGAGTTAGAAAAGAAAGAAGAAAAAAAAAAAACTTGGCACTGAAGCTTTACTTTCATTTAAAGGTACATATGTTGTTTTAAACGTGTTGGGGTAGGACTGACATTTCAGCGGGACTATTTCTGCTTAAAAATAATAAATATATTTTAAAATAATGTACTCAAGGGCTGGTGGCTCAGGAACATCTTCCACATCTCTTACAAATCCTGGAGGGGACTGGAGTGAGGTTCATTTGAGCTCATCAAAAACACAGAGCCATTCCTGATGATTTTGTGTTAAACTGGGACGATGGGAGCAGAATCCATGGGAAGCAATTCCAGCTGTTCAGGGACACACCAGGTGCTCCCGAGCTGTCAGTTGGTTGCTGGTGGCTCCTTTCAGAGCAGTTTGGCATTGCCATGGGTGTGTAATTAATAGTTTTACATCCCCACTCCACTAGGAGAGAGCAGTCTATAATTTTCTTGCCCTGTTTTTCACTGCAAGCAGCACTTTTCCTTTTCTGCAGCACAGTTTATTGTTGAAACACCCCTTCCCCTGGGTTATTAGTGTACAGTTAAATATTGATCCAAACAGTTCTCTGCATTTTGCTGTCTGTTGTTACGTGCCCAAATCGTTCCAAATTATTTGGAGCAACTGAAGAACTCTGCCTTTATCCTTGAGGCAGATCCAGGAATATGTTTCCTGATTCAAATATGATTTACTTTCTCTGAAACTGTTTTGGGACAGTGTGTCCAACGGTTCTTTTTAAGTCAAAAATCAGTGTAGCTTTGTGTTTCTGCTCAAATTGTTGCTGGGTGTGGTCAGGGTTCCCTCATATCCCACACCTCACTTCTGCTTTTCCCAATTGAAATAAAGCTGCTTCTGTGGCTCCCACACCTCCCTCCATCTCAGATTGGGTTTAGAACTTGACTCCTGTTCTTTGTGGACACACATCCCTGGTACTTACAGAGGTTAAGAGAAATAATCTAAATCTAATTCATCCACAAATGAAAACACAATTCTGCTGAGGCACAGGTGAAACTTGGGTTTGATTTATGCTTTTTTTTAAGTTTTGGGTTTGTGTTGTGTATTAATATTAAAGAAGAGGAGATTTGAAGACTCAGTTTGACTTACTTTGTTGTCAAACTTCCACCTGGGTTACATATATAATGTTTATGATTCCTCAAAGAAATACCAGTAGAGTCAAAAAATTGGTTTTTAACTCAGAAGGGAAATGTGATGTAATCTTACTGTCTTAGCAGTTTTCAGTTTGTATATGAATTAATTCCTTGTTGGTGTGTTGTTCACCAGTTCACCATTTTTCTCCCCAAATTAGATTAAACTGTTAGAACAAGAAAATGAGCACTTGAATCAAACTGTGGCCTCTCTCAGGCAACGCTCACAGATCAGCGCCGAGGCAAGAATGAAGGAGATTGAAAAGGAAAACAAAATCCTTCACGAGTCCATTAAAGAGACCAGCAGTAAGTTAAACAAGGTGGAGTTTGAGAAAAAACAAGTCAGGAAAGAACTGGAACACTACAAAGAGAAAGGGGAGAGGGCAGAGGAGCTGGAGAACGAGCTGCATCGGCTGGAGAAGGAGAACGAGCTGCTACAGAAAAAAATCACTAATCTGAAAATCACCTGTGAGAAGATCGAGGCCTTGGAACAGGAGAACTCTGACCTGGAGACCGAGAACAGAAAGCTGAAAAAAACCTTGGACAGCCTAAAAAACCTCACTTTCCAGCTGGAGTCCTTGGAAAAGGAGAACGCGCAGCTCGACGAGGAAAACTTGGAGCTGAGGAGGACAATTGAATCCTTGAAGTGTACGAGCATTAAAGTGGCACAGCTACAGCTGGAAAATAAAGAGCTGGAGAGTGAAAAGGAGCAGCTCAAAAAGAGCCTTGAGCTCATGAAAGCCTCTTTTAAGAAGACTGAACGCTTGGAGGTCAGTTACCAAGGGCTGGACACGGAAAACCAAAGGCTCCAGAAGGCCCTGGAAAACAGCAATAAGAAGATTCAGCAATTAGAAAGCGAGCTCCAGGATTTAGAGTCTGAGAATCAGACCCTGCAGAAGAACTTGGAAGAGTTAAAAATCTCTAGTAAGCGCCTGGAGCAGTTGGAGAAGGAGAACAAGTTGTTAGAGCAAGAGACTTCTCAACTGGAGAAGGATAAGAAACAGCTAGAAAAGGAAAATAAAAGGCTTAGACAGCAGGCAGAGATTAAAGATAGTACTTTAGAGGAGAACAATGTCAAAATTAGTAACCTGGAAAGGGAAAATAAATCTCTGTTCAAGGAAATTGTCGTGTACAAAGAGTCCTGTCTGCGCCTGAAAGAACTGGAAAAGGAAAATAAGGAACTGGTGAAAAGAGCAACCATTGATAAGAAAACCCTGGTCACCTTGAGAGAGGTAAAGAGATTGGTTATTGCCCTTCCACCATAATCTGTTTGTCATGGGGAGAAATCAGAGCTGTGTTTCTGAAAAAAGGCTCTACTTTGGGGTTTTTAAGCTTTAATCTGTGTGCTCTCACCATCTTTGTGCTTACAGTAGGGAAAGCATTGGATAATCACAATTTATCAAACGTTTTCCCTTCACTCAAGACCAAATTTAAAGAGAAATTCTACAGGAAGGAAGGGAGTACAGTGAAATCATAGTTGCAGTGCAGTGTCTGATCCAGCTGAGAGCTGACAGCTGGAAGGAGGGGAGGGATAACACTAAATTATTCAAGTCATGTAGCGATCAAAGGCTCCTGTCTGAGCACTCCTAGAACTGGGACTGCGTTATTTGATTTCTGTGGAAACACTGACTTGTGTTTTCTTCTCTGCAAGGACCTGGTGAATGAAAAACTGAAGACTCAACAAATGAACAACGATCTGGAGAAACTTGCCCACGAGCTGGAGAAAATAGGCCTGAACAAGGAGCGGCTCCTGGAGGATGAGCAGAGCAGTGATGACAGGTGAGGGTGGCAGGACCCACCTGAGAGAGAGAACAAAGGAAGGGCTTTTTCATTCAGGAAGGGAAAACGGGCTTGTGCATCTCTGGGATTTTTCAGGCACACTCACAGACCCAAAATGGAACTCTGAAATGAATAGAAGAGCTGATGTGCTGTTACATTCTGTGACAGTGAGTTGCCACTTTTTGTTGCTAAGAAACTCACTGAAGTATGTCAGTAGATCCAGTTAATTATAATTAAATGTTTCGTGTTCCAGCCAGCAGCAGGAACAGTGGCAGTAAGAGATAATCAGCTCAAAGTGTATTTTTTTTCCTTTTTGACACAAATGGTTTTTACACCTTGAACTGTCTCGCTCTTTCCTTACAACTAATGCCTCCTGCAAAAGGAAGCTGCATTCCCACTGGCCCTGGTGGAAGTATCCAGTCCTTGAGTGTCTCCAGCACTTGGTGCTGGCTCCATCCCTCCTCCACACCTGCCATTGGGAAGCAGCTGCTACCCTGACATCTGTTTCCTCTGCTGGGTTTCCCTCTTCTGCCTTATCCTGCAGGGATTTAGGGAAAACCTGTGGCAGGAGAAAAGCAGAGTATCATGGGCCTCTGGCCAAGCTTTATTGCCCAGTGCTGTTCAGTGGAGTGATCTGTTATTACAACTGATTGTCATGAAGGTGTAGGTTGATTTGGAGCTTTCTGTGTCAAAAGTAACCCACGTAACTGGATTAAAAACCCAAATGGTTCCCTTTTTTTACTGCCAGGGCTCTGTTAGTGAGGTGGTGCCAGAGTCCTGAGGGTGAATCTGTTACCACCTCTTGTTTTCTCAGCTCCCAGATGAGCTCAGGAAAGGCCTCAGAACTTTTTCTAGTCCGGTCATTTTGATGATGGAAATTAAAAATGTACAATTTTTTTCTTCCTAATTGGAGAGAGTTGCTTGTGTTTTTAATGAATGTTCTTGGTAGCACTTCAGTCTTCCCATTGGGCTCTAAATTGGCCACGTTTTATGAGTTAACTTGGAATTGTTTCCCATTTTCCCTTGTCTTTCCAATGTCTGTTGTCCTTGGACAAACACATTCATGGACTTTGAATCTGAATACCCACGTCTCAATGACATTAGAAAATTTGTACCATCTTTCACTGTTAGGTGTTCAAAAGGAAACTGGATATTGGATCTCTGCTATTTGTCTTTTTTTTTGTAATTTTGTAACTTTTCAGTAACAGAAATTCTTATTTCCAACCAAATCTGTGCTTCAGCTCAAGGAGGTGAAATACTTTATATTCCACTAGTCATAGGCTGCCTACTGTTCCTGAAATCCCTGGGAATTACTTGTCATACCTTCAAATGTAGGATTCCCATCCTGCTACTTGATGCCACTGGACAGCTTTCTGCTTATTAATTCTCTTCCCATTGGTCTTCTGCTCCAGTTCCTGGCTGGATCTAATGCTCTTGTCCATTCAGGAGCCTCCTGCAGTCTGTGCCCTTCACTGAACTGATAGATCCTTCAGCAGCCAGCATTAAAAAGGGGGATATTAGTGGTTTGTTCTATCCAGCTGTGGGGAGCAGTGGGATGTTTTCCAGGTTCTGAGCCTGGTGCACGATGACTGAACTGCTTCAAGTGATTAATGAGTGTGGGTTTCAGTATTTTCTATAGAGGGGACACAGTTATAAATTGATAGAGCCTAAATCTGACCACTTCTGTCCCAAATAGGCACTTTGGGGTTTTTGGGTGCCCTGAAATATTGTAAAGATGGTGATAAATGGAAGCTTTACCCCTCAGGGGTGGTGACAGTCTTAAAATCCCAGCAGCTGGGCTGAGGGGACAATTTGCACAGTCAGGCACCAAACGAGTGTGCACCTGCACAGTCCTTCCCTGCCCTCCCTCTGTGAACTGGCAGGGAATGGGAACTGAGGGAAATCCTGCTCTCCAAATCCTTCCCATCCTAATTGGCTTTGGGTCCCCGCTGGATCCTCTGGAGCGGAGCCAGAAGGAGGAGGGCAGCCACCACACCCAGGGTAATGATCCAGATAAACAGCCCCCTCCTTTCTGTGTGCCTAAAACACATCTGAAAGAAAGGAGGAGTCAAAAATGGGCTTTCCTACCATCTTCTGTTGGCTTCAGGCACGGGGCTCGCTGGGAATACCGAGGTGTCTCCATGCTCTTGACTTCCCAGCATTTTTGAGGGTGGCCATGAGGCTTCATTCCAGGGTTCAAATGCCTCAAATAGGTTTGGAAAACATGGACTTTTTTCTTTGTTCTTGACCAGTAGGTACAAGCTCCTGGAGTCCAAACTGGAATCCACGCTCAAGAAGTCTCTGGAAATCAAAGAAGAGAAAATTGCTGCTTTGGAGGCTCGTTTGGAAGAGTCCACAAATCTCAACCAGCAGCTGCGTCAGGAGCTGAAAACAGTAAGGAAAAGGGCATTTTTCTGTGAGATTAAATGGTTCCTGTATGAGCTGTTGTTGTTTCTGGTTGTTATTTCTGGTATTTGCAGAAGCTGGGTGTTGTTTGGGTAATGGAAAGCAGGACAAAGGTGTGCCTGCTTTCGAATCTGTGTTGGAATCGCATGAAAAGTTGTAGAGTTTATTCATTGTTCATTGAAAATGTCAGGTGGATAAATTATCTGGGGCTGATTTGATTTGGGATGTCATTTCCAGTTATATTTCCCCACCTGCCTTCAACAGCCTGAGCCAGAGTGGTTAAAAAAAGAAATGCAGTCGCCTTGGCTGTAGGATTTTATTATAAAACTTGGGGGGTGCAGTTGAAAGCACTGAAATAAAATAGGAAATAGAGGTCTCCTGCTGTTAGGAAATGTTTGTTAGGGTGAAGTTATCCCTACCCATAAATAATTTGTGCAGCATCTCCCCAAATACGTACAAAAAGCAAATTTACAATCACAGTAACATAGAACTCCCTGTTCTTTGAGAAGTGGCACGGCCAGGTGATAAATTAGGATGTCCAAAATGGGAAATTCTAAACCTAATCCGAGTTGTCCTAAATAATTCCAGGTGAAAAAGAACTACGAAGCTCTCAAGCAAAGACAAGAAGAGGAGAGGATGGTTCAGAATTCCCCGCCGAGAAGTGGAGAAGAAAATCAGTCCGTCAATAAGTGGGAGAAGGAAAATCAGGAAACGACCAGAGAATTGTTGAAAGTTAAAGACAGATTAATTGAAGTGGAGAGGAATGTAAGATGTGATTTAAATATGACTGTGGTTATTTGTTGTTGGCTGTTGCAGTCATACAAATGAGTGTTGGTGAAGTCTGTCACTTGTCATCTGGTTCACATCCCAAGAGGAATCTGAGTTAAATAGTTTATGGAGCAGCTGGATTCTGCTCTGAGGGATGCCTTAAAACACTTGACAGGCATTTCAAAGGAAATATGAAAACCTGACTTTGCCCTTTTGGATGCAGAGCTCTCTCTTAAATCCCTCTGATCTAACCCTTATTCTCCTGGGGCCTGGAGGTGTCTCTGCTGTCCCTCCAGAAGTCCAACACTCATTACCTGGTTTTCCATCATAACCCTGTGTGTTCCTTGGTCCTGGAGGGTGATCCCCAGTGTTGTTGCACCCCGTGAATCCCTTGGAGAAGCAGCTGTGAGCTCACCCTCTGTGTTTGTTTTCCCCCCGTGCCCAGAACGCGACGCTGCAGGCGGAGAAGCAGGCACTGAAGACGCAGCTGAAGCAGCTCGAGACTCAGAACAACAACCTGCAGGCCCAGATCCTGGCCCTGCAGAGACAGAGCGTGTCCCTGCAGGAGCAGAACACCACCCTGCAGACCCAGAATGCCAAGCTCCAGGTGAGGGTTTCCTGTTTGGCTCCCAAAAATAAAATTACAGCCGTTTTTCCAACCAAATCAACGCGGTCTAAGACACATTTTGCTACCTGGAAAAGAAGGTAATGTGGAAATAATCTGCACTCAGAGAGGACAAATAATAGTCTGTTTGCTGATGAATAATTCCAGTCCTAGAAGTTGGTTTGAATCCTTCACGTTTGTCCAATTTAAACTCTTGACTTTATACTCTTTAAACTCTCAATTTTATATACTTATGAGTAGGGTAGGTTCTCTTATCCTTCTCTTAAACCTTCTAAAATTACTTGGGTTTTTTTTATTTTAGTTATACATCTAAATTAGGTCAGGGAAGTGGTGTGTCCAGAGAGATTGTAATAAATTTTGTCTGTTTTTATAAGTAGCTTAAAAAAAAAAAAAAAAGACAGAACCATACCTAAAAGGAAAATCAAGAGTAAAGTATAGAATATATATAAAAAAAATATAGAATACTAAAGAAAAACCCCAAAGAAACTCCTACCTAAATATGTAAAGACTGAATGTAGATAATTCAGAGGCAAAAGAAAGGTGATATTTGACCATGGAAATGATTAAAATGGTTCACCCAGAGTCTTGCAGCTCTCATGGCCAAGATTCAGATGTTGTCCTTCCTACTTGAATAGGGTTATTAAGTAGATACCTCTTTTTTGTCTCTAAAAATGAAATGTTCTTGCTAATGGATCGAATGCTTTTTGGGGTTCTAAGAATCCAAATTCCTTAAGGAGGGAGCAAAAAGTCCACAATCCAGCAGAAGCAGTGTCAGAAAGGATGGAGGGTTGGTGGAAATCCAAGTGTCAGGGACTTTTTAAACGAGGCAAATACTCATTTGGTGAATGCCTGGAGTTCTCATCCTGACTTTCTGGGAAGCAGAACCCAGTTGTCCCAGGGTTGCACTTTGTGCTGCCACGTTGAAATCTCATTAGTGCACAGCACTCCAAGGAAACAGGACTTGTGGGCCTTCTCTGGCTGTTCAAAAGCAGTGGGCAGGGGCATGGAAATATCCCCTTTTAACCACAGGAGGATTTACCTCTGGGATTCAGAACTCTTGAGTATTTTGTAACCCCATTTGTCAGGAAAACCCAGGAGTATCTGTGCAGTTCCTTTTTTGCCTCGTGCACAAGGGCACAGGCTTTTCGTCTCTGGCAAGACAACTCTCCATCAACTCCAGGTTAAACTGAAAGGTGAAATATGTCCCTGAAAATCAGAACTATCAACTCCATCTGAAGTGAAATCTCTGTCAGAACTGCTCCTGCCAACTAATTCTTCTCTCCCTGCTGGTACCCACGAGGAGCAGACAAGAGAGGGGATGTTTTAGGGTTTAACTGGGAATTGGGAGCTGACAAAACTCGAGATTCAGCCTGGGCCGTGCTGTGAGACATGACTTCATTTCCAGGGAAAGGTTCAGCTTTCTCCTGTGTAACAAAGAGCACTGCAGCTCCAACAGGAAGGGATTTGTTCCCTGGTAACAGCAGGCACTGCAGTGGGAGATGGAATTTTTTTCCCCTTAATAGATACCCCGAGGGTTTTAGAAGCCTCAGGAGTTTGTGGTTTTCATCTCCTGAATAGGAAAGAGAAGGGAATGAGCCTCATACAGGTCAGGTGACAAGATATCCAAGGATTAGATTTGGTTAATCTTTCCAGAGGCACAAAAAGTGAAGTTGGGGGTTGGTTGGGGTTTTTTAAATTTGTCTAATGTTGAAGGCTTTAGTATGTTAATAGACATTAATACTGCTCTGACATAATTCTGAACTAGCTCCACGAAAGAGTACAAAACAGAATGTGGGGAGTTCCTTCCAGGTGCTGTTATTTCATTTCCCTTTCTCTCTGTTAAATGAATGCTCCTGTTTGAACTCTCACTGTAAAAGGGTACGTGGGCACCATAAAGATTTTAAGGTGACAATACAGATTCTGTACAATAGAGGTGTTCTTAAAAATAGATCTCTGTGCCAGCGTGAAAGTTCCTTTTATTTTAGTCATGTGACAGATTTGGCTTATAATAGGATCACTGAGGAGCCATTTCTCCCAGATGTTTTGATCCCAGAGGAAAATGTTGTTCTTGTCTTGATAGCACTTTAACAGGTATTGAAAGGTAAATAGGAAATTGATTATTTAATCAAATTAATCAGTGTTTAATTGATTAATCAAATCAATCTAATCATATTATTCAGTGCTTTCCTGCGATACTGCCATAAAAATATTCCTGGAATACTTTGAGTTGGAGTTGTCTGGGGGGGTGTAAGGAAAGAGTATTCCCCTGAAAGGTTGGCAGGTAATGGAACAACCAGCAGGTCACTAAGGGTTAGGAGACAGACAAAATAATCCAGACCACAAAATTAATTTACCACAACCGTTCGTGGCCACAGGTGGAAAACTCCACCCTGAACTCCCAGAGCACATCCCTGATGAACCAGAACGCCCAGCTGCTCATCCAGCAGTCGGCCCTGGAGAACGAGAACGAGGGCATGCTCAAGGACAGGGAGGACCTCAAGGGCCTGTACGAGGCCCTGCTGAAGGACCACGAGAAGCTGGAGCAGCTGCACGAGCGCCAGGCGGCCGAGTACGAGTCGCTCATCGCCAAGCACGGCAGCCTCAAGGCCGCCCACAAGAACCTGGAGGTGGAGCACAAGGACCTGGAGGACAGGTGAGCACTGCCCTGCTAAGCAGCAGCCACTAACAAGTTTGAGTAGAACTAGCCTGACGTAAATCCTTAAGATTTTGTGCTGGTTTAAAGGTAAACCAGCGGGGGAAATGAACTCAACGCAAAGGAGAGATTATAAGTCAGAATAACAATTTAATAAAATAATACAATAAGTACGATTATCCAGACAAACAGTTGGGTTTAACCCACAAAACCCAAATGTATAACCCAGCACCCTGGGGCATGAACAGAGTGCTGTTCTTTGGGCACCCTGAGGCCAAAGTAAACGGAGAGGGGAAAACCAGTTGGTGAAAGTGCTGGTGCAGTCTGGTTGAAAAGTGGTGGTCTGCAGTCTTCCTCTGGATCCCACAGGTGGTTAAAAAAGTCCCAAGACCCCAAGATTATCTATCCAGTTCAGGCAGGAATGCCCAGTGCCTCCCTCACCACACTGGGTGTGAGCACAGGAGCATCCTCCTGTCTCAGGGGCCTCTTAACACCCAGTTTATAGCCTGAGGAGTCAGGGGTGCTCTGGGCAGAGGGTGTAAATGGTCTGTTGAGAACAGTTTCTGGGCAATGGCATGGAAGGCTCTAGAATACACAGTTTTGGGTTACACCCATCCAGTGATGAACTGGTCCCAGCTGTTCTAACTAGGACAGATTTGCAGCTTTAAACGGTCACCATTTCATAAAAACTCCGTATTCTCTTCAGTCCACAAAAAGGCATTTAAATGTTGTCTTGGTGTGCAGGTACAATCAGCTGCTGAAACAGAAGGTGCAACTGGAAGAGCTGGAGAAAGTTCTCAAGGCAGAACAGGAGAAAATGCTGCAGCAAAGTGAAAAGCACGAAACAGTGGCAGCAGAATATAAAAAACTTCGCGATGAGAACGAAAGGTAAAGCCGAGTCTGACGTGTGTTAGTGGAGCTCTGAGCACCTGCCAGTGCAGCCTCAACAAGTGTTGTGGCCTTTCACATTTCTAAACACCTGATGCTGCAACTCGGGACTTCCATGATCCCACAAAAATAATCATTACATCCTGAGGGTGCATGTGGGACAGAGGGATGTGGCAGGGCCCAGGAGGGACAAAGAGAACTCAGGGATCAGTGTTCCTGTGCTAAATCAATAACCTCTGTGATTGCCAAAGTTTGGGCCATTCCTGTTTCCATCCTATTTTCTGTGGGCAAGAAATCCTGGCTGTTTGTAGGATTTATTTTTTTTTCTTTTGAAAAGTGCCATCTTAAAACTAGTTGTGATGTAGAGCTCCTGAACATACAGAGAACACAGAGGGTTTGGCTTCAAGGCAGAACACATTCCTAGGAAAATGAGACCGGGATGACTTCCCTACAGTCTGTGATAGTAAGGAATTTGTGTTTGGTGGAGCAGCAGGAGCCTTGGAAATGCCATGTGGGTAATAAATACATTCCCACCTGCCTTTCTTTGCTGGTGTCTCCCAATCCCAGGCTCACTCACACCTACAGTCAGCTCCTGAGGGAGAATGAGGTTCTCCAGACTGACCACAAGAATCTGAAAACGCTGTTGAACAATTCCAAACTGGAGCAAACGCGGTTGGAAGCGGAGTTTTCCAAGCTCAAAGAACAGTACCAGCAACTGGATATCACGTCGACAAAGCTGAATAATCAGTGTGAGGTATGTGAGAATTCTGGAATATTTATGGAAGTGTATTTGTGGACTCATAAAATCCGTGGGAAGTGCTGGAGAATTAATCATTTGGTTTAGAGATAATGAAGCGGGTCCAGAGACTAATTAATTTGCCTGCTGTACAGGCTCATGTTGGTTTAAATGATTTAAAGAATCGAAGAGGCTTTTATCAGGTGATTCATGGTTTAGTTTTCTGTTGGATTGGACTCTCAGAATGCCTTTGTGGACTCACATTTCCTTGATGATCTTGTTATCCTTATGTTGAATACACTCACAGATGTACACAAGGGCCATTTCATGTATTTTACAGCTGCTTAGCCAGCTCAAAGGGAACCTGGAGGAGGAGAACAGGCATCTGCTGGATCAAATTCAGACTTTAATGCTGCAAAATAGGACATTACTGGAGCAGAACATGGAAAGCAAGGATCTCTTCCATGTGGAGCAAAGGCAGTACATGTGAGTTTTGAAAATCACTGTGATACACTGATTTTTCTTTAAAAAGCTTCTGTCATATGTGGAATTAAACTCGTGTGCTGCTTCTGAAACGTTTCAAAACAAAAATTTCAATTGTAAACGTAAGGCAGATAAAAACTAAAACCCTTACGTTTGTAGTTCTGAAGGATCAGTGCAACTGTGATCGTTACTGACTATGCAAAGGGGTAACAAAAATGTTATTTATTCCTCATTCTGCTACTGGCCAAATTTAGAATTGTAATCTGAACTTTTTAGTGAATTTGAGGGAATGTCTAAATTACATTTATTATTTAAAAAGGGGGGAAGTTCTGTGGTGTAATAAAGGCGAATGGAAACTTTCTCAGTGTTATAAAGTTAAACCTAAGTCTGCTTGTTTGCTGTATCTCTTGCTTTTTCAATAAGAAGCAAGTGTTACATTAGAATTCTTCACCAAAGATGACAGCTCTGAGATAACAGATCCCCAAGGGAACACGCTGCCCACACATTCCATACATTTTTGCACATCCATTATCCCTGGTTTCTGTTTGCAGTGACAAGCTCAATGAACTGAGGCGGCAGAAGGAGAAACTGGAGGAGAAGATAATGGATCAGTATAAGTTCTATGAACCATCTCCACCCCGAAGGTACCGGTGAACACGATATCAGAACAAAACACGACTTCAGGGCATAACCTGTTCTGCTCCAGCTGAAAATTGAGGTCTCCTGAAATTCAGGGGGGCAGAACCACGTCTGTGTTTTGCATGTGAATTAGGAGTAGCATGAGGACGTAAACAATGTGTCATAAGTGTGCTGTGTCGTTGGTAACAGGAGAGGCAACTGGATCACCCTGAAGATGAGGAAGCTGATCAAGTCCAAGAAGGACGGGAACCGGGAGCGGCTCAAGTCCGTGACCCTCACGCCCACGCGCTCGGAATCCAGCGAGGGCTTCCTGCAGCTGCCCCACCAGGACAGCCAGGACAGCTCCTCGGTGGGCTCCAACTCCCTGGAGGACGGGCAGACCCTGGGCACCAAAAAGAGTAGCAGTGAGTACTGCAGGACGCTTCATTCTGCTAATAAACCCTGGCTAAGTGTTGGGAAAGTCTGTGTCTCTTGGAGGGGGTTTTAAAGGTAAAGTCTTTAGGAGCAGAGCCTGAGTTAATGCGAGGGCAGATTTATGGTGACTTCTTGCAAACTCCCTGGAGTGTTGGGGCAGGAGCAAGTTTTTAGCATTTCTGGAGCTAAATGTTGAAGCTCCATTTGCAGTGCTTGGGTAAGGTGAAGCAGGCACTGCTCCTGGGTCAGGCAAGCAGGGTTCTGGATGGAATGGCAGATGTCACCACTCGTACCTCTTTTGTTCCTCCCTCTTGTCCCAGCATGAATCTCTCCCCTTGCCCTGGAAGCGTTGTCCAAGCTGTGGCTGTGCTAATATCCTTAAAAACACCTTCTGCCTGAAGGTGTTCCCCAGCACCTCACAAAACCAGTGGGGAAAACTTCTGATCAAACTGGAAGGTGCAGCAGGAAGAGTTTATGTAGAGACACAGCCTCTTAAAAGGATGGGGATTGTTAGTGATCCCAAAATGAGAGCTAAGTGGGAAGGGTTGCAGGGGGTGTGGATAGATGGGATATTCCAGATACAGTTTGCTAACCTTGGAATAGCCTCACAGCCATCACATGAGGAGGGTGCCCGTGGTATAAAAGGCCAGATTCTGTTTATTATTATTTATTACCTATATTGTTTTACCTAGATTGTTTATGATCCACTCTTGATGTGGATCATAAACTGCCCAGTTTCTCACAACTTGAGAGATAATATTGCAGCCAGGTTATCAGGATGTGATGGGTCTATTCAATAATTATGCACCAAAAGCATTTTGGCTGTGCATGTAAAAGCATCAGAATACATGAGCATCATTAAAAGTCACTTCCAGTCTTTGCACTATTCCTTTTAAATTTAATGTCTTGAGTTTCAAAAAAGCAGCAGGTTGATTTTTTTGGGCTTGTGCCAGCTGTGAATCTGCTGTGTTAGAAATGATTGAAGCCATTACAATGTGTTTTTTTGGTTCTGTGCTTCTTGCAGAAGCTTAGTCAAAGTTAAAACCACCAAAAAATGCTGTTTCAGTGTGACTTTCAATCAGATTTGTGAGTGTTTTTTTAATAACTGAAGACAATAGTATGCTCAGAGGTACACTTTAGCACTTCTGTTGCTAAATTGTCCCTTTGGGAAGCCCAGCTTTCTTCAGTCTGAGATTCAAAACAGCTACTTTTGAACTTTAAAAAAAAACCCGCAACTGTTGCTTTTACATCATGAGTGGTGTGGGGCCGGGGGGGGGGGCGAGCGGAGCTGCCGTGGGTGTGTCTGTGAGTGTGCACGCTGTGGGTCAGCCCATCTGCTTCTGTGTCCCCACTGTCATGCTGTGGCAGGGCTTTGGTGTGCCCGTGTTCTCCTCGTGCCCCTCGGGACCCTGTGGGGTGCAGTTCCCCCTCCCCGGGAGCCACGGCCGCAGTTCCGGTGGCTGAGCCTCAAAAGAGGTTTGGAGCTGTGCAGACCTCATTAATTTTCTACTCCGTGGGCCTCCTTCGTGTCCCCCTTAATCCCAGTGTGTTTATCCACAAACTGGAAGGGCTGTTCTAATTCTGGATCCAGACCTTCCGCCGTTACACACGTCGCCATGGAAACCCCGGGATTTGACAGAATTCGGGTGCCTCCTGTGCCAACTCAGCTCTGACAATCTTGCTGAGGCAGTTGGTGTCTCAGAGTGAGGAGTGTCTCAGTGTGACAAGTGCTGGTGATGGGGCACATTTTGCAGCCTGTTTCTTCTGCTCCTAGAGGGACTGTAAATCCTAAATCCCGGGATACTGTGGGGCCTTTCTTTTCTGTAAGAAGCGGTTTGGCAGCAGCAACTTCCACTGCAGGAGCTCCAGGAGGGAACACGTGTGAGCTGCCACGCTGAGGTGCTGGAGCTCCACGCTCTGGGAAGAGCCAGGTTCTGTCCCAACCTGGGAAGGGACATGGTTCCAGTGGGAATTGCTGAGGTGAAATGTCCTGCATGTCCCTCAGGAGGCAGGAGAAGGCAGCTCACCTCCCTTGGCACACACCAGTGGTGTTCTTGTCAGCTAGAGGGCAGAGTATCTGACACAGAGATCCCAAGGGCTCTAGGGTTCCTATCCCACACATTCCCTGTTGGAGATGCTGATCCCACACCTGATTACCCTGCTGCTGCCACTGCTGATGAAGAGATTTGGTGTGTGCCAGCTTTGGAAGGTGGTGATGGAGACAGGCCACTTTGCCACGCTCATGTGTTCCAAAGCCCTGTTATCTCACAGGGGATCCTGGCCCAAAATTCCCCTGTTGTGCAGAGAAAGCAGCACCTGAGGTGTCCCAGCATTCCCCAAGCCCCTGTGTGATCCCAGAGTGTGTGAGCTGGGAAGGAGGGAGTCCTGCATGGCTGTTGCTGTCCCTGCAGGCTGTGAGCGTGTGTGTGCTCCTGACTGCAGGCTTTCCCCTTGGCTTTTCATTCCCTGCTGGAAGTACAGCCTCCTCCTTCCCAGATCCTGACCCCAAATCCTTCCTGGTCACTGCTGATGATCAGGTGAGTGCCACGGACCTGACACCTGCTCAGGGCAGGATGGGACCACTCGGAGCTTTCCCACAGAGAGCCCAGGGCAGACAGGGGGGATTTTTGTTTTCTGTGGACAAAACCAGATTCCCTTTGCTGCCTTCCACTGCCTTTCCAGGTGATTAACGAAGTCCCAAGCAATCAGGGCTATTAGTAAGCTGGATCTCTAGTAGTAGCACCAGGAGCAGACACATCATATCATAGTGGAAGTAAAAAAAGTCTATTGGGCTCCATTTCCTATCACCAGGACATTTAGAAGATGTCTGCCTCATATTTTCTTGTGTGCATGAACAAAACCCTTTGAAGATTTTAATACAGAATTCCTCAGAGGGTTTTTGCAAACAGGAGGAGAGTCACAAAACAGGAGATTTCCTGATCAGGGGAGGAATTCTGCCGTACTCATCATTCCTTCTCAGCTCAGAAAGCAGGAACATATTCTCAGAATATTGAAAAGAGAAAGAACACTTAATTTCTGCTGCAGCTCTGCCATTTCAGTATTAATCATCATTATCATTCCAAGACATTTCTTGAGTTGGATTTTATGCAGACATTACTTACATTATTCCCCCTTCAAGCAGGTTTTGCATTTTCCCAAGGGCCAGGTTCTGATGCAGGATTTCCAGGACATCAGTAGTTGCAGGGGAGTTTCCTGGTGGGTACAGTTAAATCAGCCCTTTTGGAGGTGATCTCTGTTAATGGACAGGACAAATGACTCCAATGATTCTTGAACATGCTCTGGTTACTTTTTTAATAAGATTAGGGAGTTTTTAATTAAGAGGGCTCAGTTATCTTGTCTACAAAGGATTATAGAGGGGTGAGTTATCTTGTCTGTTAAAGGATTATAGAAGTTACAGAAGAGTCATGTGTCATCTTGGTGCCAAAAAAATAGAAATAGAACATAATGACCTCTTTGGTCCCATTGCATTGGGAGCCTCTTCCTCTGGGTGCAGACACAGGGTGAGACAGTGGAGAGGGAGGTGTCTTTATTTGCCTTTCAGGGTCCCCCATGTGCACTTGTAAATGCATATGTATATATGCACTGCTCCATCCTTTAATGCTGTTTGTAATTTTAACTCTGTAATTCTCCTCATAGAACGTACCTCAGTTTGCTCTGGGCCCTCCCAAAACCTGGCAGCAACGCTCACGTTTGGATTTGCTGTGGTTTTGTTTCCTTTGGGGTTTTTTTCAGCTGAGAAATCTTAGCTGAAATCTGCACCTTTGAAGCAGATTATTTTGGTGAAACACTAAAATCACTGCACACAGAGTGCACTGAACAGGAGGCCCTTGTGGGTTTTCTGCAAGTAGGTGACCAAAATTCTTAGTGAGCACAAAATGAAAGAACTGAAGACTTGATAATAAATTATGTCCTGGTAGGTTGGTAGGGCAAACCATGACCAAAATTAATTAACCTCACAAAATAACGATGTGAACGTATTTTAAAGTAGAAACTGTACTTAGAGTTGCCTTTTTCTTTATGTTCAGGAAGTGTTATTTTCCACAGTAAGAATTATGTAATGGACCATTTCAGTAACCACCTGCAAAGAAGTTACATTTCTTTTTTTTTTTTTTTTTTATTTTTAATAAAAACTTTCAAGAGCTTCAAACTCTTGAAGGAGAGGAGTAGTGGGGAGTATTCCACTGCCCACCATAGTGCTGGGGAGTATTCCACTGCCCACCATAATTCTTAGTGCATTCCCAAGTATGTGAAGGTTCTCCTAGTGCAGTTTTCCCATTGCAGGGTAGTTCCCATCCCTCAAGCCCACCCAGCAGCATGACAGTGATAGCTTTTAGCATAGCCTACGTAGCTTAAGCTCGAGACATTCATTTCTGTCCTTAGTTTCAACATTTAACTTCCATCTGTTCTTCTCCCCTTTTTTTCTTTCATTTCCCTGTTTCCGTTTTTTCCTCATGCTATGACATAAAAGTGGGTGCACTGAAAAGACTGCCCTTTTTGAGGAACAGACCGAAGGAAAAAGACAAAATGAAGGCCTTCTACCGTCGCTCCATGTGTAAGACTTTATGACAGTTCAGCTTCTTCTCAATGGCTACACTGGCTTCCTTACTAATTTTTCACTAACCTCTCCCTGGACTGCGCTGTATTTTTCCTCCTCTTTGGCAATGTGCAAGTCCTGCTACGGTACAAGGAGCTGGAGCTTTTTCTTTTTACTTTTCCCCCCCCCCCCTTTTTTTTTTTTATTTTTTTTAAAAAAAAAACAACCTTGGCACTGAATACTTTATATATGTGCACACACACACACACACTCACCCACACGTCCCCACGCACATCCATATAATCTATTCAGTGCATTGTGACTGCATATATTTGTATACATAGTTGTCTATATACACATGGCCCCATGTGTATATAAATTTACAGTGCACTGCGTTCACAGAAACGGTTCTAAACGACACGTTCTGCTAAGAAATCCCTGTGATTTTTTTTTGTTGTTGTTGTTGTTTTGTTTAAAGGAAGTTGTAGGCAATTGTGCAAGGCTCTCTGGTGGTCTGTCACTCTGCAAGTACTCCTCAGTTGTCGTTTGCCAGAGCGTTGTATTGATTTCCTCTGTCTCCTTTTGTTTTCTGATGAGGGGTGGACAGTTTTGCTGAGCTGGGGGCAGTGCAGGTGAATCTCATCCGCTGTTGTATTTTGCTCTGTGACCCCGTGTGCCCGCAGTAAAACCTGCACCGCACCAGGACCCCGTGGCACCGCTGGCGCTCCCGGCCGAGCACCTTTTCTCTCCCCGTCCATCCCACCTTCTCGTGGCACGCGCGGCGTGCCCAGGCTCTCACGCACACCTGGCACATCCTGGCACATCCTGGCATGGCGAGGACCCCGTAGACGCCCCTCCCTGTCCCCGAGCTGATTGCATGACGTTGTCTGTCCGTGCCAGCCCCGAGCCGCTCTCGCGCTTACGGACCTGTCGAGCTTTGCGATGCGCAGTGCGAGCGAGCGGGGACGGGGCCCACGCTGATCATCTGCTTTCATTTGCATCCCAGCCATGAATGACCTGGTGCAGTCCATGGTCCTGGCAGGAGGACAATGGACAGGTAGTTCTGAGCATCTGGAGGGTCCCGATGATATGTCCACGGGTAAAAGGAGGAAGGAATTGGGAGCTATGGCCTTCTCCACCACAGCCATCAACTTTGCCACTGTCAACTCCTCCACAGGCTTCAGATCCAAGCAGTTGCTAAATAATAAAGGTATAGGTAGAAGCTTTTTGCACCGCGATGTAACTGTGTAATATTGATTTTTTTTCTTATGCTTTAAGTTTCTCGACAAAAAGCAATCTTAATAACTCAGCTGCAGCACTAAAAGATAATGCATAGGTTTAATAACTGCAGTTATAAAATGTTCCAGGGTTTTTCCTGCAGAATATTTCCTAAGGAAAAAAATGGATTGCTTTGAAAAGTATTTTAATATGTTGTACCAATGGCAAGTATTTCAATGATCTCTTCCTTTTATTTTATTTTACATCTTCTTTTATGTCTCCGTGTGTAGATACTACATCCTATGAAGATGTAAGTCCCCAAGGTATTAGTGATGATTCTAGTACAGGATCAAGAGTTCATGGTAAGATGTGAACTTTAACTGTATGAATTAAGGATATATGATGTGAATGTTAACACAGTTTGCAAAAAAACAGTGAATGACTTGGTTGCAATGAGCATGTTCTCTCTGATTTCCATATCTCTCCGATGTACTGTATCATTTCTTCAGACTCTCCTTTTCTTCCTTATCTCCTACATCAGACAGATGTTCTGTGTCTCTGGTAGAAAGTACCTGTAAAGTGCATCTGAACAGGATCGCAGCATTTTCCCCTTCAGTGGGAAAGTGTTGTAACTTCCACTTAGAGTTAATAGTAAATAAAAGAAGTTATCATTTCAATCCTAAAAACCCCAAATCCCGATCTGGCCCGAGTTTTCAAAGTTTGTGGTTCAGTGAAGCCTAAATTTGCCATGTGCTGTAGTTAATAGAAGCATTCCGTGTTCCTTCAAGCAAAGCTTTGAAGTGAAAGCTGCAGTAGGTTACTTAGAAGTGAAGTTTTAACTCCTGTATAAACATTTACAACTAACATGAGCAGCAGGCATTTTTGAGGCTACTAACAGAGCATTTCCCTTGTATTGGCTCAGGAGTGCAGGACTTTGTCTGTGCAGATGCTCTTGCTCCTGCTGCTCGTGGCCTTCCAGCCCTGTGCCAGGTTCCCTGTCAGATCTGTTGTAAGTGCCCTGACCACGAGCAGCCCCTGCATGTCCCTCCTTCCACCCGTACCCGCCTCCCCCTGACAGTCACTCTCAGTTCTAAACAGACACTCTCTTTCTCTCTCTCTGTTTCCTCTCCCCTCTACTGTGCTATTCCTCCAGTGCCCTTTTCCAAAGTGTCCTCTTGGACCGCCTGGAAATTGCTCCGCTTTCTGATGTGTAAGAACCCCTGTGTTGCCCGTGGGCATGCTGGGCCTGTGTCAGTGCATGCCCTGCCTGAGCATTCTGGGAGCAGAATGTGAAGGGACCGTGGCCTCTGCTGCAATCTTGTTCACCACCGTGTCTCCTAATTTTCCATTCAGCTTCCAGACCAGCCAGCCTTGATAGTGGCAGGACATCCACTAGCAATAGCAATAACAATGCTTCACTCCATGAAGTCAAAGGTATGCTGGAGGGGAATTCACATCCGTGCTTCATTACTTCCATTCTTTTCTCTGTGAGATCATCTGTGTAGATTAAAAAAAACAAACAAAACCCACAGTCAAAAAATTCCCCCTGCAAACCGCAGCAGGTGCTTCCTCAAGTATTTCAGAGCCTTCATTCCCCAGATTGGGAAAAAAGGTGTTACTAGAACTGATGATTTTAATAAATATTAAAAGGGTGGGGTTGCTTTCTAAGTCACCAGCTATTTTAAATCAAACCTTACCCAGGTAGCAATGGTACAAAATCAGAATTCCCCCCAAATTACTTTAAAAATGATTTTTAAGAAGAGAAGTTGCTCCTTTTTTTTTTTTTTTCTCCAAGCATCCTCTTGCACTGCTGCTGTGGGCTGTGTGCTGTACAACTGGCCAAGGTGACCTCTGTGGTACATCCTGGAAACCTTTCTGGTTTGGATTTAACGGGTTGACAACATCCCTGGATTTACCAGGATTCTCTAAATTACATCTATGGTGATACATTTTTGTATCTAGAGGCCGTTCTAGGTGTTGTACAGACTAGAGCACTGCCAGCTCAAGACTTCATTTAATATTCATGGCTTCATTTATGGAATGGTGTCTGTTTGTTTGGAAATTTGGGAATGAATGCCAGCTGAGTATTTCTAATAGTTTATGTGACATCTCTTTGATTACTCCCTTCTGTAAAAGATTCCTTGAGGTCCTCCTTGCCTCAGTTTAGAAATCCCTGGTGTAAGCAATTCATCTTTGTTCAAACTTAATTTCGTTTCTTAAGAGTAACATGAAGTCAGAAATACTTGATTATCCCTGAGTATTTTTTTTAGCAATTTACAGTTTCTGACAAATAAAAATAATTGGGCTTGTGGCATTTATTTTGCATTTAACACCATGTGCTTCCTTCAGGTCCCAGTTGTAACCAACTAGGAGTAACAGCAGAAAGTGTTGGAGAAGCAGCATTCCTTGTTGGAGGAAATATTTCCTTTCCATTAAACCTTTTGTATTTCATTTAACATCCTGTTGCCTCCCAGTGATGCTGAACAAGAGCAGGGGTGTATCCTTAGCCTCTTGGAATGTAATGTTACGTAGGTGGAGGCCCAGATTATAATGAAAAGTAGTTTTTATTCCAAAAAAAAAAAAATCACGTTTAAAGTGCTGCACAAGGTAAGTCAGGGGAGTGAAAAAGGACAGCTGGATTATTTTTAGTCATTTAAAGAGAATTAGTGTTCAATTTGAGTCAGGTTGTACAGGTTTATAGCTGTGCCATGTGTTTCTGATGGGAATCCCTGCTCCCCTTGCCCCCAGCAGGCGCAGTGAACAGCCAGAGCCGGCCCCAGAGCCACAGCAGTGGGGAGTTCAGCCTCCTGCACGAGCACGAGGCCTGGTCCAGCAGCAGCAGCAGCCCCACCCAGTACCTGAAGGGTCCCACCCGCTCCAGCCCCGTGCCCCAGCTGAGAACTCCCGAGGCGCTGGAGAGCCGCGGAAAACCCCCCAAAACGGGCTCTCCCGGCAGCGAAGTGGTCACCCTGCAGCAGTTCCTGGAGGAGAGCAACAAGAGTAACTCCAGTGAGGTCAGTCTGGAGGGTGTTCTGGCTACCTTGTCTCGCTCGGACGGGCTCAGATAGTGCCAGGTGCAGGGAGGAGAATTGCTGTAGAGCTTTGTGGAGCTGTTGGTCTCTCCTGTGTATCCTCATACACTGCACCTGCTGCACCACACATCACATTGTTTGGAACTCCAGAAGCCCCTGGGTTGGTGAGGAAGTCCTGCCCCTGGTGCCCGGGACACTCGCAGTGCAGGGGGAAGGCCAGGACTCCTTCAGTCCTTCTGTTCAGCAGGAGCTGTTGTCAGGTCTGTCTTGCATCAACAGCAAGGGAGATGTTCAGCTTCATCCCCTGAGGAGACTCTTGTCTGCTTCAGTTCTGTCTTTGTAACATTAATGGGAAACAAAAAGCGACCTTGGAGCTTACTGAAATCTGAGAGGAATCAGAGCAAGGGAATGTTTCTGTAAAGCAGTGGCAGTTTGTTAGACACCCCAAATCACCTTTTCTGTGCTGGTATTCCGTTTTCTTCCTCCCTAGTTCTTGAGTAGATCTGCCCAAAACCCAGAAGGGCTGTAGGATAAAGCCAGGCAGTCACTGTGACCAGGATGTCTCAGGAGGAAGGGTCAGGCTCTGTCTTATTTAAATGACACAAGTGAAATGGAAAAATACACATTCCCAGCTGGTCTGATTGGGGTTGTCTGGGACAGAGACCTGGGTCTAGAGGAGATTCTATGTTGTTTTGTTGGATACTTGCAATGATCTCTCACCTGTGGTCTCCCTGACATGGATTTTTAGGTTTTAAGTGTGTATGTATTATATATGTTTAATATTGCTTTTAGAGCTGACAAATCAAAAAAAACATAATAATTTTTGTAGGGTCATTCTTCAGTAATGTCCCCAAAGATCGCTTAGGAAAAGATTAACAATTACAAAATTTTATAAAATGATAAATGTGTGTCTCCTGGTTTGGACAGATGAAATCTGCAAGTGAGGAGAACCTTCTAGATGAAGTGATGAGGAGCCTGTCTGAGTCTGCGGAGCTGGCAGGGAGGGAGAGGCTCCGGAAGCAGCCGGGCGCCGGCTGTGGGATCGTGAGATCCTTGAGTGTCAAAAACACCGTGGATTTCTCGGACGGCCGATCCCTGAAGCCGGAGCAGCTGGTGAGGCCCAGCGTCCGCAAGACTGACGATCTCTACTTCAGCAGCTCCCCCATCAAATTCCCGCCCGGAGCCCAGGGCAAGGCCCGGGCGGTGAAGGACAAGCTCCAAGCGACTGTGTCCCAGCGCCAGTCCCGGGACTGCAATCCCTACGCCACCTTACCTCGTGCCAGCAGCGTCATCTCCACGGCGGAAGGGACCACCCGCAGGACGAGCATCCATGACTTTTTGTCCAAGGACAGTCGGCCGCCCGTGTCGGTGGATCCGGCGGCGCCCGCGGCCGACAGGAGCGCTCCGCCCAGCTCCAGTGAGTACTCAGCACACGGGTTCTCCTCCCCCTGTGCCCACTGGGTGCCCTACAGAGCAGGGGGTGTCCCGCAGGGCGAGGCCACGCCGCGTAATTTGGGATGTAACTCCGAGGTGCCCGGGCCTTCCAGGCCGGAAAGGCCAAATTGCGGGGAGAGGACTTTGCCGAGCGCGAGCGTGTTCTGGGATAAAGTCAGTGGATCTGGGCCTGGCAGCGCAGGATCCTTTACTGTGCCCCAGCCATTCTTATCCCTGAACACGGAGTTAGTCAGTAATATCAGTGGAGTGCCCCAGAGACCCACCTCCCGAGCAGCTGAGCAGGCAAACCCGTCGGCGTTTAGGTCAGTGCCCTGGATCCAGGAACAGCCTCGTGCTGCTCAGAGCCCTGCCCAGGGCGAGCCACGGGCAGCCCAGCCCAGGGAGCCCGTCCCTGCCCCCGGTGCCAGCACCGGCGAGGCCGAGTGCCCGCTGCTGGTGTCGGAGGATAACCAGACCCTGTGGTATGAGTATGGCTGTGTATGAGGAGGAGGTTGTGTCGTTACACGTGCTGGAGTCTAACATGCCGTAGGGCTGTTCTCCGTGCCCGCTGGATCACAGAGAAAACCTCCCCTCCAACGAACAGCCCCTCTCTGGTCGGTCCCTGGGCGGTTGTGTCCCGCGGCCGTGGACTGTGGCATGTTGGAATGTGGAACTGTAACCCCACCAAAGCCTGCATGAGACCTTAATTGCACTGTGTACATCCTGCATGCCTCCATAATGCCGTGTTGTTGTGTGTCACGCATCACAAACATTGGGTGTTCTCCTCTTGGTCACTGCTGCATGTCAAACCACACGCATGCTGCGTCCCGGGAACGGCATTCCTGGGAAAGGACGGTGCTGCCAGTTGTGCTCCAGCTCTCAGGGGTGTGGGGAACACGTGGATCATCTGCCTGGAGTAAAAATGCTTTTTTTCCCTCTTTGAGAAGTGAAAAGAAGCATTTAGAGATATCTCAGTGTCTCCTTGCCCTTCTCATTTATGCCACGTCCTGGCATAAATGCACGAGGAACAAATCACAGCCCGATCATTCCGTGCCTCCAGTTTGCACAATAAATACCAATTACTGAGCAACAAACACACAGAGCATTCATAATCCTGGACAGAAATGATAATTCTTATGAAGAGGTGATAAATAGTCACATGATACCCAGCACTTGTCTTGAAAAAATGGCCTTTTCCACCTTTTCCCTTGGGTCTGCTCTGCCTTTCCACGTCTGGGGTACAGCTGTGGGAAAGGGTTTGGTTTTATCAGGAGTCAAATAACAGACTCCTTGTGATGTGTAGGAATAAAATCCTGTCTTGAGCATGGTGGAAATCCATTTTTAATTCTCAACAGAAGGGACACTGACATAGCAGAAAACAAGATGGTGTAACAAAATAACAGAAAAAATGTTAAATTAACACAGTTAATAGAAGAAAGAATAACCAAGTTGCTTGCAAGGTTAGGGGAGGATAGGAATGCTTCAGGGAATAACTCCTTAAATCCCAGATGAGCAGCTGGAGAGAAATGTTGAAGTTATTAATGTGCCACTGCCTCTGCAAGTGCTTGAAACTCCTCAGTGGCAAATATAAACAGTTTAAAATTGTACCAGACTTAAGCAGTGACTACGTGAGGCTTTAGACACGAGCCCTTCTCTGCAAGAGGACGTGGTCAGGCCGGCTGTGGGATCCAAAATTACACCCCTTACAAAAAAACCTGAATGGAAGTTAAATATTGAGAGTAACCAGCATCACATTTGGGTTTTTACACTGCCTTGATCCTGCAGCAGCTTTGTGGCACTCACAGAACTGCTCTGTGGGCTGAGCTTTAATTCCTTAGTGCTTGACTGGGAGGGGCAGGGAATCCACAGTTCCCGGGGAAGAGCAGCAGATATTCCATGTGGGAGGGTGTGAGGGCTCTGCTTTGTACAGGAGAGGGAGCCCTGCACTTCCAGTGGGGAAAAGGAGTGAGGGCAGGATATTGCCTGTTCCAAAGGTGTTCTGTGGGATCAGTGTCCTGGTCTTGCCTCGTGTGGTTTGCCTTCACTCCCATTAATCTGTAGATGTGTTGGAATTGTGCTGGAGATGAGGAGTGCTGGCATCCCAACGTGTGCCCCACACTTTTGATAAGTTATTTAAGGAATTGCAATCTCAGCTCTGAGAGCACTTTGATAAACTCACACTGTGCTGCCAGGAGCTGTTGTTTTCTTACCTGGGCCTTGCAGAGCCTCTGCTTGTTCTGGGCAGAACAAGGTCTGTAGGAGTGTCCTGGAGCACCAGTGTCTTGGATCTCCAGGAGTTGGACACCAGCCTTTGTCCAGCTCAAGCCACTGCTTTCCATTGCTTTATAAATGTGTTGATTAGCAGCAGTGGAAGTGTTCTGTGATAGAGTGTTCAGTGCTCAGAATAATGACTTACAACATTTGTGTATTGGATATGAAAGAAAGCCAATGTTTTCATGAACAGAAGGTTCATTTTTTTTCTCTGCTTTTTGGTCTTTACACTTAAGCAGGAAGTTTGTGGATGTCTCCCTTGGTTTATGCTTAAACAGTGGAAGGATCTGTGGAATTCCTCCCATTCCCAATCCCTGCTGCTCCTGAGCTGTGCACATGGCTGGCTGTGACACACGTGGATCCCTGGCCCTTTCCGTGGTCCCTGCTGCCTGGAGATCTGCTCCAGGAGCGAGGAGTCTATGGCTCTGATTAAACACGTGGCTGCTGGCCAGGGAGGTTGTGTTGTGCAGGCTCAGCAGTTTGCTCCCAGTGCAGCTTTGCCTGATGCTGTGCTGTGAGTGCCTGGGGAACTCAGGGCCTGCATTTTGCATGTTGAAGCTGTCGCATGCCAAGAGCATTTCCCGGTTTGCAGAGTGGGACGGGAATGTGTCTGTCACCGCCCGGCAGGTCACAATACAGCGAGGGGAGTTCTCTGCTAGGGTCAGTCAGCTGGGCTTGCATCTCATCATTGTTTTTGCTTCCCAGACATGCAGAGATGTAGGGTTGGCGTGGCTGAGAATGACCCATATCTGACTGTGCTTTGCAAGTAATGCCTGTTCCAAATGCTGAGGTGAATGGCAGTGAGTGCAGCTGAGTAGGCACTTGCAGTGAGTTTCTTCTGTCCCTCTCCTCTGTCCTTTCCTCTTAAAAACAACCAAGAAGTGTTTATATATCCTTTTGCTCCCCTAATGAGTAGAATGTATTTAATGCATGAGGGGTTTTTTTCGTGTCCTGATGAACACAATGAATAACCTGAAATGCTTTTCTCTGCAGATGTGGAAGCTATCCCAGAAAGCAGAAATTCAAAAAGCAGGTCTAGGGAGCAACAAAGCTCCTAATTCTATTCCCCACTACATGAGCTGTGGGCCAAGTGGTGAGTTTCCTGCCCAGACTGTAAATGAGATGAATTTCATTTACAACAAACTAACAGCATTACATCTCAGACCCAGAGCACATTGCATTAACCAGATGTAAATACTGCTTTGCTTAACTGGCTTCTCTCGCGCTCACCGGTTAGGCCAGGACTGACTAGTTAGGCCAGGACTAGTGGCCCTCAGGAGGGAACCTCGTCCCGTTCAGCCTTTTTGCCTGTAAAAAACGCCATTTCTTTCGATTTTTTTTTTTTTTTTTACCACATCTCACTAAGAAGGTCCAAAGAAAAACCCCATTAAGAACCAGCAGCGAAGTCAGTTGTTAGAAAGGGAGCAGGTAAATCCCCCAGGTGTGGAGTGGCCCCCAGGCCGTGCCTTTGTGTGCTGCTCTGAGCTCCCTGAGCCCCTGTGCTGCTCTGAGCCCCTGTCCTGCATGCTCTAGTGCTGTTAGTTCTGTTTGTGCTCACCTCTGTGTTGTGCCTCTGCTCCTGCAGCTTTTTCTCACGTTCTTTTCTCTTTCTGCCTTTCGACTGCACACAGAGAGAAAAGTGTCCTTCAGTATCTCAGTGTGAAGCCTTTATATCTGAAGTAACAAGACAGCGACTGTAGGAGTCATTAATAAAAACTAAAAAAAAAAAAATTGAGGGAATTTTGTACATCCTTCGTGACTAGAGCAGGCAAGACATAAAAACCTACCTTCCTTCCTTCCTTCCTTGAATCAAGGAGCTCTACTGGAGTCTACTGCCGAAAATGTGTAGATGGGCTTAGGAATTATTGCACATTGCACTGTTAAGATCTACTGAATAAAGGACAGTTCTCATCTCCCTAAGGACCGAGGATTTTAAGGTCTCAAGAATTACTCCAGGGAAAAACAAACAAACAAACAAACAAAACAAACTTCTTTCATCTTCTGTTTTTGAAATTAGCCACTGATTTGCTTAAGCTTCTGCTAATAATTAGCCAAAAACCCCCATAACTGGCAGTTTTTCTTTACGTCTGTAAATCTAAAGGAAATGCTGTAGTATTTTGTTGAAATGGACTGTATATACAGATACAAAAACCTCACAGCTACTGGCACTTCACTGCCTTATTTGGTTTGCATAATCTGCATGAAATTGCTCTTAAAAAAGAAAAAAAAAAAGTTTATGCTGACTTTTTGTTGCATACTGCAAGAGAAAAAAAAAATTTGTTTACATCCATGGGAAAGTTGGGGAACTAACAGAAGTGGGAGTCATGGGATAATGGTGTTATAGAGAAACTGTTTGTCTTTTGTGTTTTTCACCTTCCCGAGTTACTCTGTATGTTCAGATGTTTCTGACAGGAAATTGTCAGGTCTGAGTTTTCTATAACGTTTATTTTAATATAAGGCTGTTTTCCACAAATGCCATTTCCAGGTTACGACTGTCTTACGATGTTTGTGTATTGACTAATTTTTATTTTATTTTTTTTTTTTTATTGTTTGTCTCTTGACATGAGCTGATTGTGGCTTAGGAGGTTTCTTGATGGCAAAAAAAGAAATGTAAATAATATCATATGCATTTTACAATCAGTTCCCTTGAAGGTTCTCTTTTACTAGATCCGTTTTTGTTCGTTCTTGATTTCTATTAAAGTCAACAGACGTTCTTGGTACCTTCGGTGGTTGCATATATTTGTGTCTGGGAAGATCTGCAGCGAGCTCAGAGGAAATGGAGAGGAGCTTGGATCCAAAAGGAGTTGTTACACATTACTAAAACCAATAAGCACATTCCTATTCCTGTTGAGGAAGGTTACATTCCCTGTGTCACCTCCCAGGTCCAGAAGGTCACCTCCATCCCCTCAGTGACGGTGAGCCTGACTCTGCTGAATGCAGTTCAACAGATCCAAAAGCATGAAATCTTGTCAGAAAGGGGAAAAAAGAGGCAAGTTCAATAAGCTTTAGAAGGGGACACGTTTTTTTGCTTTTTTTTCTTTAAAGGGACTTCCTTCTGAAGTATTTTTTATGCTAAAATAGGCTAAAAGATCTACACTAAAGGTGTGGTGGGTGTGAAAGAGAATTCAAAGACCATAAACATTAGGAAAATATCTCTAATTCTGAAGGACAGCGTGTTCAAGCTCCTTTCAGGGCCTGTGACTGGGTTTTCCTCACTGAGGGCAGAGGACTGATGCAGTTCCAACCCCCCAAACCCAAACCATTTAACAGTGTGACTGTTTTCAGGAGCCTTGTTTCCATCACACAGGAATCCCCTCACATCTCACTGATCAGCTCAGCTCTACTCTGGAGGCATCCAGTTGTCCAAGGTTACCCTTCCCAGCTCCCACACTTTGCTTTTTGCACAGTGTTGCACCTTCTCAGAGCATCTGTGGGGTCACAAACTGTACAGCTGCTGTTTAATTCCTCCCTTGGACCAGAAATGACCCCCATCCAAACCCTCCAGGGACGTTCCTCGGAGGAGATTTGGGGGAGCAGGATCCTCCCTGGTAGGTCAGCTCTGGGGGCCCCAGTCCTGCCAGGGCCCCTCTGTGCCATCCTGAGCAGGTTTGGACCCACTTTGTCTTCGTCAGCACAAAGGCCAGGGTGGGATTTTGGGTTGTATTTGCCAAATTAGCCACGAGCAGCAGCAGAGACACAGGAGCACTCGAGGGATTTAATCTGCTTCTCCCAGCACTTTGTCGTGCAGGGAAGTTTTGGGACAGTCCAGCAGTCAGGAGGGGCTGTGAGCTGCTGATTCCTGCTCACTTTTTCCTTCCTTCATCCTCCCAGTGCCCTTAAAACAAAGTAAAAAAGCAGATTTAGGAGCCACTTCTCAGTTCCTGGAACACGGAGTCTCAGGGAAGCAGCAGTTGGAGGCCCAGCTTTGTCCCCCCAGAGTGCCAGGTCCAGGTTAGGAAGGAAGTTGTCATGCCATGTGTATGTTTTATTTACTTTTCTGATAGTCTGTGAGGATTTAGTAACATTCCCAACAGGTACTATTATTTCTAAACGTTTTCCAGGACATGATGCAGCCTAACAAAGGAGCTCATGTGTGATTTTATTTTTTATCTTTTTTTTTTTTTTTTAGAGGTAGCTGATGATGTATATGTAAATAATGCTTTGATATTAATAAAACTGCCTTAAAGGAATGTACCTAGGTGTGAAACAGAACTTAAAAAGCTCTTATTTAAACTGTAATTTCCTTTACATATTGATTTTTTTTTTAATGTTCGCCATTGTATACATTTATTAATGATGTTATTAAAATGCCAAACCAAATAATTTTTATTCTTATTTCGTCGTGTGTATGTCCATACACACTTTTTCTGGAAACTGATGTTACTGGCAGGGTGTTGGTGTCGTGGTCAGTTGGTGATGTGTGCAGTGAGTATTTCTTCTGGAAGGAAAAAAAACTGATAAAACTGTAGCAGAATTTTTCTGGACCGTGTGTGTAGTTTGTTCTGTGGGATTTGTGTAGACCTGGGTAGCTTTTAAGTGTACACTACTTTGATACTTTTATTTAAAAAAAAACAAACAAAGAAAACAATGCTAATTTCGTAAGTAAAGACAAAAAGAAATCGTTATAGATTTGACAGATGCAGTATTTGAAGCTTTAGTTTTGCTTGGGGGTTATTTTTGCTGAGCCAAGTCTCAGGATTTCCCCCGAGGATGACAATAGTTACACTTCAGGCAGTGCAGGTTCTAGGATTGGGCACATGCCTTGAAATCAATTCGTCACATTTAAAACATTCCAGAGTTAAAAACCTCGACAAGTCAAATCTAATACTCATTTTTCTAAGAGATAAGGGATTTTGGGGTAGAAGAAACAAGAAACCTGTAGGGGGAGGGAGAGTGAGTGGCCGGCAGAAGGCAAGACAAATGTTACTGGACGTTTTTCTAGTGACTCTTCCTACAGCTGCAGCGTTTTTAGGTCCCTTCTTTCCCACTGGAGATGACTCCCATGATAGCTGGGGTTGGTTGGTGTCTGACAGGGTGGAGGGAGGAATCTGAACTGCTGGATGCTGAAGTGTTCTGTCTCCAGGAGCTCTGAGAACAGGTGTCAGATCCTTCCAAAACACAGGAAACCACGGTAAGGAGGCGGGTGAAGGAACTTACCTTGCCCTAGAAGACGCTTTTTCTTACTCAGATAATAGTAATTGTTCATTCTTCCAAGATCACAACTCCTTTGATGTGTTTTTAATTCCTGCTCCTGTGGGTTTGATTTCTGTTCACCTCAGCTGCTGCTGCTGCTGCTCTTGGCTGGTGCTAATGACATTTTCATTAGGCTGCATCCAAAAGCCTTCACCCCCCATCACCTTCAGGTTCCATGCCTCACTTTCACTGCTCCCCTCTCTTGATGTCAAGTTAAAACCTTCAAGGCCAGTCCCACACCTGGGAAGTTCCAGTTTTATCTGTTCCATCAACAAAGATTATAAAATTATTTAAATAATGCCCTTTATACTTACTAGTTACCTAGTGCAGACATGATTTAATTTACACTAAGTTTATACTTAGTGCATACACGTTGGAAACATCTTTTTAAGAACATTGCTAAACTTCTAATAACTCAAAGACAGTATTTTTTCTCACTAGGTTATCCAGTATAAACTTAAACAATTGGAAAAAATATGAAAAAGGAGTAAGCCTTCTTTTTATTTGTAACAAGATTTTCACCAGTTTTTCTCTACTAAATCTATGTAGTAGAAAAGTGAACTGCCTCTATTTGACATCTTCATCAAAGTGCAGGATGATAGGGTCGTGGCCTGTTGATCTCACGAACTTCAAGAAGTCCTCGGGGCTTAATCCCATGGTTGCAGAATTTGTCATTGGGTGAAAATACACCTTTTCGTGGCCCCCTTCCAGCAGGGCAGCGTCCAGCACCAGCCTCACGTCCCCCTGGTCACAGAAGAGGGCGAGTGGCGTGGCACAGCCCTGGCCCACCTGGAGCTTTTCCAGCATGGAGTTCTCCTCAGCAAACCTGAGGTTCCCGCTGCCGAGGCCCAGTTTTTTAGCCAGGTCGTTTAAATTGACCTGCCTGTTGTGCAGGACAGTCACCAGCCAGAACCCTTTCTTCTTTTTGTCTTTAAGAAACAGGTTTTTACTGTGACCTCCTTTCAAGTGCTGGACGTGGGGCATCATTTCTTCCACGGTGAACACCTGGAAAACAGCACCGGTGTGGTGTGAGACTCTATATCCCGTTAGGCTCCCAGCTGTGCCCTGGCAGGTACCTGCTGTTAAACACTTAGAAAATACCAGATGTTCCATTTGGCCTAAAAGCTGTACCCTTTTATGAGGGAATCTGAACAGAACACGAATGAAATGTGACAGACTGCTGCTGGATAATTTCTGTGTTGTCATACAGCAATATCTCACTTCAAGGCAGCTCTGAGAGTGCTGTTTGCAGCTCCGTTGCAGACAGACGGCAATGACCGGTGGCACTTGTGCTTTCAACTGGGAGCGAGGAAAAGTTTGGAAAGCAGCTTGGATACTGTAGGTGTCAGGGGAAGGAGGGGGGTGGGTTGTACCTCCTCAAACTGCTGAAGGAACTGGAGGGGAAAAGGGGAAATCTGGAGGCAAAAGCGCAGTCAGTGCGATCCCCAAACAAACCCCCAGATGTTCTGCCAGGCCCTGCATTTGAAGTTCCCCATGGATAATTACCCTGAACAGCGCGCTCGGGGCCTCATCCCACCCCGCTGCCGCCGGGTTCCCTGCCGAGTTCCCTGCCGGGTTTCCTACAGGATTCCCTGCCGGGTTCCCTGCCGGGTTCCCTGTCGGGTTTCCTACAGGATTCCCTGTCGGGTTCCCTGTCGGGTTCACTGACGGATTCCCTGCCGGGTTCCCTGCCGGGTTCCCGGGATGCCCGCGGTCTGTGCCGTACCTGGGGGTGCTCTGCCGTGACGGTGGCGATGCCCAGGTCCCGCAGCCGCCGCTCCAGCGCCTCCCGCAGCTCCGGCCCCGCCGCCATCGCCTCCCGCCGCCCCTTCCACCGCCCCTTCCGCCGCGGGAGCCCGCCCAGGAGCGGCGGGGAACGGGCAAGTGCCATAAATCCGAGTGAATTTACCAAGGGACAACCCCCCGGGGCTCAGCCTCCTGCCGCCCTCCCACCGCGCCGGGCGACAAAGGTCTCCATCACACCCGCACCTCCCCTCCCGCACAGCTCAAGGTATGTCATGTCTCTTAAAAGCACCTCCCGCTCAGAGATTACACGTTGCTCCGACACACACCCGCTGTGAACTGTGTTTAATGTTGGTTTCAAGCCAAATCTTTCAGATTAAATAAACCTATTCGTTTTTATATGCATGTCCTTACTGTAATTTCAGGTTCTGGCTGGTTGCTTATATGTTGTGCTGAAAACGTTGCTGCTAAGTAAGGAAGTTAAGAAAAATTCGAAGCTAAAAAAAAAGAAAAGAATCAAAGTAAGGTAAACTTTATGAGACACCTGAATTTTTTTAAAAATTTTTTAAAGGCATCCAGTAATAATCAGGAATTGCCACTGAGGGACAAAGCCAAGCGTTAACGGCCACAGAGTTAAGCGGAAAATATTTCTGCAACCCTGTGACATCTATATTTGTTTTCAGTTTGCCCTTCAGAAAAACGGGCAATCTGTAATAAAGCTTTAAATGAAAACAGGATGACTCTGTGGTTAAGAGACATGTGGGTAAAATATGATCCCGTGCTA